ATGGTTCATTGAATTATCATGGACAAGGATTACCATATATGTAATAAATTCCATCTTTTCCTCTACCTTTTCATTCTTCTACCAGCTTCCGCAAACCAAGATCAAGTCTACCTCCAGGATTAATGCTCTCTTTGTCTAATATATATATATATATATTCTTTGACTTTTAAGATAGTTTGAAGAGTTATTAATTGTTATTTTATATCAATATTTTTTGTTAGTAATTTTTCAAAATATTTTTACTAAAATTATTAGTTAATTGTTAATTTAATCCCGCATTGCATAAAACTGATATTAATTTAAGGAAAATTTTTATCTAAAATTAAGATGGAAAATAAAAAAAATCGTTAAGTTAACTAATAATTAAGTTTAAAATAATTATAAAAAATAACATACCAATGAAAATATTATACTCTCAAATTTTTAGTATGTGTTATTTTTCATGTAATAATTTTATTTTTTTTGAAATTTTTATGTTAAAGTATTTGTAAGTATAAAGAGAAAATATAAAGAATATGATTTTTTTGTTAATGAAGAATTAAAAAAAGAAAAGAACGAATTGATTTTCTTTATGAATTAGGGTTTTTTGAAAATATTATTTAAAATTTTGATCAAACAAGCATTTTAAAATAAATATAAATAAGAAGAGGAATAATCTTTTTAAAATAGAAAAAAATATTTATAATCAATTTCGTTTTAAGATTAAATTTTATAGACGGAATTAAACTTAATTCAGTAGCTTCTGGTTGGATGAAAGATAAACCATGCATCTATACCACAACTATTCGTAATAAATTCCACTTGGACCTTATGGATGTGACCATGAGCATGACTAGCTATGACGGCAAGGAATGGAACCACTTGACCGGTAAGTAATTAACAATTTAACAAGTATAATCACTTTTTGCTGTATGCGTGAAAAAGGATCTTGAAAAATAATACATTCAACGACAAAGACACTTTCGTTAGCATGCAATATTTAACCCTTAGAACTATTAAAATATGCAATTAGATCCACAAAAAAACAATAAAAGTGTTGCTCTATGAGTATAAAGATTCCAAATATGTCAATATTTAAGGTTCGAATGTTCAACATCAGCGGTCTTTTCTGGGTCCTTGTGTATATGATCACTAGTACTGCGTCCCCATCTACTGTTGAGAATCTCACTTTAATTAGGTCACTAAAGTAAGTTGGAGTCGCTTGAAGATGCTTAATGACCATAACTTTATGAACAGTCACAAGCTGATCAATAGCACATGAATCCGAATTCCCGTATAGACAAGATACCATGAATACTAATCTTTCAACAGTATAAAATTAATTTCTCTTGCAATAATTTTTTTTAACTACAATAATCGTTAAGTAGCTAGTAAAAGTTTTTGGACTTTCAAGAAGAAGGTTTAGGATTCGAATCTCACTTTTTACGTCTCTTTATGGTCATTACAAAGTTTAAACATGTTTAATTCTCCAATTTAACGAGTGTGGAGAATTTAGAATCTCTAGTTTAAAACTAATTCATACCCACCAAAAAAATTGATAAGTGCTCAATTTCGGGTAATAAAAAGAAAACAAATTTTATTAATTATAGATTTATTGTAAAATACCTTTTTGTACCCATCTCAATTAAAAAGACTTTAAACAAATTAAAATTATAACTATTGAGATATCGATTTTGTAGTAAGTTTTATGTCAAATGTATATATATATAACAACTAAAAGAATAGAGGTTGTAATTATTCATTTACTATTCATTCTCTCACAAATCACTATGTGGCCTTTTTTGTAATTTTGAATGATAGTATTTTCGTGACTTTTTTAGCTAGTTTGAGCATTTATATGGAAAATTTACATTATATTTTATTTTGGTCCCTCATGTTTTCAAAATATATTTTTGGTTCCTAAAGGGACCATGCTTACATTTTTTTTTTAGCTCTTGTTTTTTTTCAAGCAATTTTTTTTTATTGAATGGAATACAAAAATTATAAAAAATCAATTGTTATTTTTTTATAGTTTTCCATGAACATATATATTGGATTATATTATTTTTATTGTTTAAAATTGATCTTTTCAATTTGTCATTTCTTATAAAAATCCTCTTCAAATTTGTTGTTTATTCTTCTTTTTTATGAAATTTTATTTGTTAATAAATATAATTTATTTTCCTATGTGTATGAATTTTTGAATCATTTTTTAAATAAATAAATAATTTTTTTGGCTTTTTTTAAGCATTTTTTTAATTGAATTGGGTGAAAAAATTATAAAAAAACCAATTGTTTTTTGTTTTATATAGTTTTCCACACACACACACACGTTACATTACTCTTATTGTTTAAAATTAATCTTATAAATTTTTCATTTCTTATGAAAATTCTCTTCAAATTTATTTTTATTATTCTTTTTTATGTAATTTTATTTGTTAATAACATAATTTATTTTCCTCTATATATGGATTTTTTGAATCATTTTTTAAATAATTAATTAAAAATAGAATTCATGTGCTTTATTTGCTTATTTTTTATGTAAACAAAATTTATCGAAATTAATTTTATGATTTTTTATTGTAATCTATTAACTTTGATATATTTCTTACAACTTAATTTTTTTAAAAAAATATTTTTCGATTTATGCCGCACACCGTGACCCACTAAATGTGGTCATGATGTATAAAATAACATATTATGATCACCGATTTGATTGAAAATTAATCTACACACATAACACCAACCATTTGTTATTAATTTTTTTAAAAAATTAAAATTATTTTCTTTCAAATAAAATAAGTTAAATAATATTTTAGAAGAATCACCTAATAATTCAAATATATTGTTTATTCTTCTTTTTTATGAAATTTTATTTGTTAATAAATATAATTTATTTTCCTATGTGTATGAATTTTTGAATCATTTTTTTAAATAAATAAATAATTTTTTTGGCTTTTTTTAAGCATTTTTTTAATTGAATTGGGTGAAAAAATTATAAAAAAACCAATTTTTTTTTTTATATATAGTTTTCCACACACACACGTTACATTACTCTTATTGTTTAAAATTAATCTTATAAATTTTTCATTTCTTATGAAAATTCTCTTCAAATTTATTTTTATTATTCTTTTTTATGTAATTTTATTTGTTAATAATATAATTTATTTTCCTCTATATATGGATTTTTTGAATCATTTTTTAAATAATTAATTAAAAATAGAATTCATGTGCTTTATTTGCTTATTTTTTATGTAAACAAAATTTATCGAAATTAATTTTATGATTTTTTATTGTAATCTATTAACTTTGATATATTTCTTACAACTTAATTTTTTTAAAAAAATATTTTTTGATTTATGCTGCACACCGTGACCCACTAAATATGGTCATGATGTATAAAATAACATATTATGATCACCGATTTGATTGAAAATTAATCTACACACATAATACCAACCATTTGTTATTAATTTTTTAAAAAAATTAAAATTATTTTCTTTCAAATAAAATAAGTTAAATAATATTTTAGAAGAATCACCTAATAATTCAAATATAGTTTTTTCTACTAATATTATTGATTATTTTATGAATATATATATATATATATATTCAAAAAGTTAATCTTCTCATCAGCATTAAAAACAATAAATAATATTCATTGTGAAAATTTTTACAAGTTTTTATATTAATTATTATTTTATTTCTTCGATGCAATCTTATGAAAAAAATTATTAAGACATTTTTAAAATTTTATATTTGGATTATTATAGATTTTTATTTAAGAATAAATTCATACGGAAGAATATATCATGTTCTTTTAATTACAAATATATAAAAAGCACAAAGAAGAATAAATTAAATACAAAATCTTGATTAAAAATTATAAAATTACATGAATTTTTATTTTATTTTTAATTTTATGTATTTTGATTGACCGACAATATAGTATCGGCTATCAAATTAAAATAAACTTATTTTGTTCAAGTCACGAGTGTAGAACGAAAAACAAACTAGTTCTATTTTAAAATATATTAGGATTTTATCTATAAATTTGATCGCGAGGAGGATATAATTTTCTCTTTTTCAACTATCACTTTTGAAAATTTAACAAAAAAGAATGTCGTCTTTTAAAACTATGTTTTGTTCGATTAGTTTCAATACTATTGTTTATTTTTGTATTAAAGTTAAGGTGTCAGTTTAAACAAGAGAAGTTAGGAATGGTGTCAACTAATACATTTGGTAGAGCCATGTTTAAAAATATATGTACTTGTTTGAGAAAAAAAGAAAAGAAAAAAGAAGCTCAATCAAACAGGTGATTGGATATTGGGAGAATGGTGGTAGGCAAGGCTAATGAGTGGACGGCGGAGGCCTCAACGAGTGGTGGTGAGAGCTGAAGTGTAGGTGCGCAGATGTTCAATCCCGTGAGTGTTTATATATATATATATATATAAACAGAAAGAAAAGAAGAAAAACATTAATATCAAATATTTGATAGTATTTACTAAAAAAAATTACGATTCTAGTGAACAACATAAGAAAGGCTCAAATTTCTAAATTATTGTTTAAATCTTGTGTTTTTTTTGCAGAATAATTAGGCAATTCCTTTAGTTTTAAAAAAAAAATCCATATCAAATCTCTCAATTTTTATATTTTTTTTGTACTGCATAGTCCTTCTATTAGTTTTCAATGACGATTTAATTGTCTTTCTCCTAAAATACCTTCTTTAGACAATTTTTCCATCCTCACCTCTTACAAACATCAGAAGGTAAGAATGGAAAATAGAACATTAAAAAAAAAAAAAATTTAATAACAATCCACAACAGTCAAGGGATTAATATAAGATTTTTAAAACTAGAGGGATTAGCACACAAAATCACAAAAAAACACGAGGCTTAAATTATAAAATAACAAAGCTTTTTAGCCTGCCCAATCTCAAGCCCAAACGAAATCCAATAACATCATGGGCTAAAACCGAAACCACAGAAAACTCCGAAGTCATCCAACTCTTTCCCGTCTTTATGAGCTTCCATGGAGATTTCCTCAAACATCAACAACGTCTCCTTCAACTTCTCCAATCCTGCTCAAAACTTCGCTCTCTTAACAAAACAAAGCCTCTCCATGCACTCACTATTACGCTTGGCCCAAACGCAGATCAATCCACCTATATTTACAACAATATCATCTCTCAATATGCACTATTCAACCAATTGCCATCGGCACACAAAGTGTTTGACAATATGCCTCATAGAAACAAAGTTTCGTATAATTCCATCATTAGCTGTTATAGTAAATATGGTTGTTTAGAGGAAGCTTGGAGAACTTTTTATGAGATGATTGATTGTGGGTTTAGGCCAAATAACTTTACTTTGTCCGGGTTATTATCATGTGCTTCAATGGATGTCGGACTTGCGGTTATGTTGCAGGCATTGGCAATAAAGAATGGGTTGTTCAGTAGTGATGCTTTTGTGGGCACTGCTTTGTTGGGTTTATTTGGAAAATGTGGGTGGTTAGTTGAAGCATTCGATGTTTTTGAGGATATGCCTAATAAAAGCTTGGTGACATGGAATTCGATGATATCGTTGTTGGGGCATAATGGTTTTGTGGAAGATTGTGCTGTTTTATTTCGTGAGCTTATTAGGAAAGAGGGTTCTTTGTCTGAATGTTCTTTTGAGGGTGTTTTATCAGGGTTGGTGTGTGAAGGAGATTTGGAAATCGGAGGACAAGTACATGGCTTGGTCATCAAAAGTGGGTTTGGTTGTGAAGTTTTAGTTGTGAATTCTCTTATCAATATGTATGTGAAATGTGCAAGCATGTACCAAGTGGAGAAATTGTTTCAGGAAGTAGATGGTAGGGATGTAGTAACATGGAACACAATAATTAGCGCATTCTCCAAAAGTAATAACCCTGGAAAAGCACTAGAACTCTTCATGAAAATGTCTGAGGATGGAATAATGCCTAGCCAGACCACATTTGTAAGTGCCATCAACTCTTGCACCCTTTTACAGGTCCTGATGTCTGGAGAATATGTACATGCTAAAATAATGAAAAGTGCTTTTGAAACAGATGTTTATGTTGGTAGTGCCTTGGTTGACTATTATGCTAAAAGCGATAAACTGGATTATGCCCATTGCTGCTTTCACGAGATACATCAGAAGAATGTGGTGTCTTGGAATTCTTTGATGTTGGGTTATGCAAATAAATGCTCTTCTGCTTCTGTTTCTCTGTTGCTAGAAATGCTTCAGTTTGGTTTCCGACCAAACGAATTTTCATTTTCTGCTGCTCTTAAATCAGCCTTGTTGTTAGAACTAAAGCAGATTCATAGCCTGACTATAAAAATGGGTTATGAGAATAATGAATATGTATTGAGCTCCCTTATTACCTCCTATGGCAGGAATGGGGTTATATCTGATGCATTAATCTTTGTTAAAGCTTCTGAAACACTACTTGCCGTTGTTCCTTTCAACAGTATTGCTGGAATTTATAACAGATCTGGCCAATACTTTGAGACATTAAAGTTCCTTTCTCAGCTTGAAGAACCAGACACTGTGTCTTGGAACATTGTTATTGCAGCTTGTGCTCGCAATGGAAATTATAAAGAGGCTTTCGAACTTTTTAAGCACATGCATATGGCTCAAATTCATCCAGACAATTACACATATGTAAGTCTTCTATGTGTGTGTAGTAAGCTCTCTAACCTTGCTCTGGGCAGTTCTATTCATGGTCTCCTCATCAAGAGTAATTTCAGTTTTTTTGATATTGTTGTCCGCAATGTGTTGATAGACATGTATGGTAAGTGTGGCAACCTTGAAAGTTCTGTAAAAATCTTTAACAGTATGACAGATAGAAACCTCATTACATGGACAGCTCTAATTTCAGCCCTTGGAGTTAATGGTTGCGTTCGTGAGGCATTAGAAAGGTTCAAAGAAATGGAATTTCTAGGGTTTCGGCCTGATAAGGTTGCTTTTATTTCAGTGCTTACAGCATGCAGACATGGTGCTTTAGTGAGAGAAGGGATACAGTTGTTTGATAAAATGAATAGTCACCGGATTGAACCAGAGATGGATCATTATCATTGTTTTGTGGACTTATTGGCTAGGAATGGACATCTTGATGAAGCAGAGAAAGTAATTTCCTGCATGCCTTTCCCACCAGATGCCCAAGTATGGCGTAGTTTTCTTGAAGGTTGCAAGAGACATAGAAATACAGAGGATCATACAGTGAGAGCCTAAAGCATGGTCGGTTTCATCTTGCCACATCGTAGCAGCCTCTCCAAACAAGTCACAAGCCATCTCTGGACCAAAGCAATAGCAATAGGAAGAAGGATTCATCCCACAAGGTCTCATTCCAAGTTAAATTCAGTCCATTGACCTTGGTGCATGTATGCAGAGGATTAAGCATTCAACATGCATGTGAACTTGAAATTATTTTCACAAAGGTTTCTTTTTAGACATTGCCTAAACTTTGGAGTTCACATGGTCTTCATTCTGCTTGCTTCCAGATAAAGAAAGAGTGTTCAGACACACTGAATTTCCAAGGCAGATTGTTTATTTTTGTTGGTCATGCTGATTAAACGGAGCCAGGTGTGGAGGCCAAATTAACCATTGGAGAATTACTGAAATGAGATTTTTCCTTCTCTTCTCTGCTTGATCTCTGGGGCCACGTAGGCCTATTTTCGTCGTGTAATTTTGTAAAATTAACCAATCAGGAGTATGCATCATCGCCTTTCTGGAACATCATCCACAACACTTTACTTTAACCCTGCATTTATAAGAGCTAAACATTGCCCTTAATCAGCAAAGATGCCAGTTTGAGCAACTTCTCATCATTCATTTTGTGGTCAAGCAAGGGCCTCCCAATGGCTTCCTATTTTCAATGGTAAAGCCTGTCTCTTTGCATGTCTAACAAGGATATTTTAGGTTTCTGCATTCTAGAGCAATTCATGGTGTCGCACTCTCTTCAGAGCCTTTCTTGTGTTTGGTCCATAAGTTCTTCATTGTACATTGGCCTATTCTGGAAGGCCTTAAGGTAGTGACAATCTCTTTCATCCTCTTTCTTCTTTTTGCACCTAAGCACAAAATATATTCAATGATGATCCAATGAGCACATTGAAGATCAATTATAAGGGTAAAAAAACGAAACTGGTGATAATTTGTTATTATCTAGAGGATCTGAAACTAGGCAGATATAAAAAAAAATTAAAGCCTCAACGGCCCATGTCAGATGTCCCTCAAATCTAATTATGCTATGCAGATGCTGAAAAAGTTGGGCAGGAACTGTAAGAGGATGTGGATGTTCCCTCATGATGCATATGATGTCATGTTAGAACAGTTAAGGTACTATCGGATTCTTAAGGCAGTCAGGCTGTCTTTAAGTGTTACGTTTTGTGTATTTAAACTCTTCACATGTCAGGGAAAAAAAAAAAAAAGGTTACCTTTTGTCATTGCTTTAATCTTTTCGCATTAACCTTTACTCATGCATTTATATCTGACGTTATCTATGCCCTTCGAAAACTTGCACATCCATAGTCTACGTGGTTGTTTCTACAGATTTGTAGGATAATTCTTGCAGTATAACGAGTGTATCTATTATTATTGAAGATTGTAAGAATTAGTCTCCCCATTGAGTTGTAACTAACTGTGTCTTTCCGTAAAGTCCAATGTATATCTTACTTCGTTATATTTTACTTTTGTTGCTTTAAGAAAACATAGAAGTTGTATTTCAGCTTACTACGGAGGTTGAGGTTTCGAGTACGTATGTGTCCATGATGTTATGCTCCGCTTAAAAGAGGGATTTTACTAGAGGTTTTAGAGAATACTAGATAAGTCCGGAAGCTTCTAGAAGAGTATAGAGTAATGAAGAAGCCTCTAGATAAGTCCGAAAGCTTCTAGAAGAGTATTGAGCAATGAAAAAACTTCTAGAAGAGTATTGACCAATGGAGAAGCCTCTAAGATGATCTAGAGAAATCTAGACATTTTTTAGAGAATTCTAGAAAGTCCCTTACTAATCTAACATGTACATATCTAGATAACTCCTTGTAAATATCTAGATAGGATATTTCTAGAGAAATAATTATAGTCATTAAATTAAATAGATCATAGCTATCAATCGAGGAGGTGGAAGGCTATAAATAGGTGAGGCCTTCACTTGGTCAAGACACCTAGACATCCACAAATTTAAAAGAGTGTATCTTTAGAATTGTAAGCTTTAGAAAGCAATACAAAAAGTTTTTATATCTTTTGTGTGTGTCTTTCTTGCTTAGCAACTTTGTGTGAGGAATGCCGACTTGGTTTGTCTTAGAGAAAAAGAGAGCCAAGTGCCACACGTGAGCTTGAGAAAGGCCAAATCCGTGACAAGTGGTATCGTAGTCGAGTTTTATCAAAGTGTGAGTAAGCTTGTCGCTAGCTAAAGTGTTCGAGGAGTAAGTATGTCTAGCTCGACATGAAGGATGTTGCGGGGAGTCCTCACTAATCTAACATGTACATATCTAGATAGCTCTTTGTAAATATCTACATAGGATATTTCTAGAGAAACAATTATAGCTATTAGATTAAATAGATTCTAACCATTCATTGAGGAGGTGGAAGGCTATAAATAGATGAGGCCTTCACTTGGTCAAGACACCTAGACATTCACAAATTTAAGAGAGTGTATTTTTAGAGTTGTAAGCTTTAGAAAGAAATACAAAGAGTTTTTATATCTCTTGTGTGTCTTTCTTCCTTAGCAACTTTGTGTGAGGAAGGTTGACTTTATTTGTCTTAGAGAAAAAGAGAGCTAAGTGCCACACGTGAGCTTGGAAAAGGCCAAATCCGTGACAAGTGGTATCGGAGCCGAGTTTTATCAAAGTGTGAGTAAGCTTGCCTCTAGCTAAAGTGTTCGAGGGAGTAAGCATGTCTAGTTCGGCATGGAGGATGTTGCTAGGGATGCTATGAATGAGACTCTACCTCCTCAACCTAAGAAAGGAAGGCGGAAGTCTCGTGACGTATTAGTTCCCTTGGAGGAGCGACTTATGAGGGCGAGAGGAACACCTTGTCGATTTCAAGGAGAGACTCGAGGAGATAGAGGGAGATGATGAGGGAGAGACACTTAGGGGTGTTCGTTCGGTAATTCGGTTCGATTTTGAACTTTTTTGATCGGTTTTCGATTAACCAAATTGTTTAAGAAAAAATCGAAACCGAACCGAATTATTATTCGGTTTTTCGATTCGGTTTTGAAATATGTCGATTTTTTTATTCGATAATTCGGTTTTCACTCGTAATTATCTATACTTTTGATTTTTGAAAGGATCATGCACTTTTGAAAAATAAATTTAGTATTTACATTGCGATTTTAGGCTATGTTCCTATATATATACGTTTTTCAATCTCATTGAACTCTGTCTATTTATTATTATTTTACTACTCCTCAATAGTCATTACTAATATAATATCAATTGATATATATATATATATATATATACGAGATGTAATCATTACCATACAAAGTCTAATAATATATAATATATGTTATTGTCTATCAGTATCGTAGATAATACCATTAAATATGTGTTATAATTAAGACATTTTAACAATTCCTTCTAAAAAGAAACAGAGCATGCTTTGAAGCTCAAATATAATCGACTTATTTGTCTTTATGAAAGACACTTTTAATTAACTTGACATAATTAGAACTAATAATTTTGGATAACTTGTTAAACACTACAACAATAAGCTAACCTTTGCTAATTAAATAGCAATGTTGTTTTTGAACAATAAAGAACATTAAAACTTTAAACACTCAACTTTCTTTAGCGCGATTTTAAATTATGTGTTTACTAAAAAGAGACATATTAATTATTATCGGGATCCATAAATTAACTAGTTTTCTTTCACATAGAAAAAAAACACTATCTCACATTGTTTCTTTTAAACTATAAATTGAATCAAGAAAGAAATTATGTACCTTCTGGGCAATTATAAACAAGAATTGGTTATGGTCATTTGACGTTAGACCGGTCGGCTCATGTAATCAATGCAACCGGAATTGGTTATGGGCTAATTGATTTAACTCTAATCGAGCTTAGGTTTGCGCGAGGCTGAGGTGAGGTGTAAGGATCTGGAATGAACGACGTCGTTCACTAATGAATTTAAAAAAAAATTAATAATTTTGATTATGCGATTTTAATCGAATTTTAAAAAAAATCGAAACCGAAATCGAAAATCGATCGTATTTCGATTTGATTTTTTTTTTTAGTTTCTAAAAAAAAATCTACACCGAAATTGATATTTCGATGCGGTTCGATTCGGTTATTCCATTTTCATCAAATAATGAACACCCCTAGAGACACTAGGTATGGCAAGGCTAGGTGAGGTGCTCTCCAATCTCCAAGTCGAAGTAGAAACGGTTGAGAGGTGTGCCAAAGAGAATGTCGTCGAAAAGGATGCCTTCATGGAATGGACGAAGGAGAGGTTCAAGCAACATCAAGAGTATATGACCATGTATGAGCAAACTCTTGAACAACTTAGAAAAGATTGAGCAAATTATTGAGAAGCTATCTCCAATGGTGTGGTCTTGAGGGACACGTCAAAAGTGGAAGTGCCAAGATCAAGACACTATGTTGTCAAGCGAGATGCCAAAGAAGTCGATAACTTCTTTTGACAAGTGGAGTAATATTTCGAGGCAATAGACTTGATTGAGAATAGAAGTCACGTCAAGATCGCTACTCGTTACCTTTCGGAGGATGCTCGCTTTATGATGACGTATGAAGCACCAAGAGCTCAAAGAGGAGAATCTAGAATTGCCTAGTTAGGATGAATTCAAAGAAGCTATGTATGCTCAACTCTACCCTAAGGAAGTTGATTGGAAAGCACGGGATAAGCTACTAACATTGAAACATACGAAAACTATTCACGATTATGTTCGAGAAATATGTTTTTCTTAAACTTCGAGTACGTGGCAAATCCGACTATGACCATGTCTATGATTTTATTAAGGGACTTCAATCATGGGCACAACAAGAGGTGCAAGGTCGACGACCTAAGATCTTCGTCGAAGCCGTGGCCATAGCCGAATCCCTAATTGAATATAAAAGGGAGACAGAACCCTCTAAGCCCAAGAAAGACTTCGAGGGCAAAGGTGGAGGAGCCTACGAAAAGAAAAGGTACAAACATAGGCAAGACAAAGCACACAAGTCCAAGATCTTTATCAAAGAACATAATAAGAGAGAATTCAAGCCCAAAGGTTGCTACTTTTGTAATGGGCCATATCAATGGAGAGAGTGCTCGAAGCGACAAGCCCTCAATGCCTTGATGGAGAAAAATGAGTGTGCTCTTTACCATGAGAAGCAAATGAGATCGTTGCAGCCTTCTCAATGCCTCGAATGTTAAGCCCTCACCTAAGGTGCCACCAAAGGATGAGCTTATGTATGTGGATATGGACGTGAATGGCAAGGCCACACTCGTCATGCTAGAAACGGGTGCAACACATAATTTCATGAACGAGGATGAGGCCAAAAGACTTGGATTGGTGGTGACTAAGTCATCAAGTAGCACGAAGGTAGTGAATGCTTCCCCTAAGCCTACTTATGGCATACGTGCACGGAAAGGGACATTAGATTTCACCATTGTCACAATGGACGACTTCAAGGTTGTGTTAGGTATGGAGTTTTTTAAACAAACAAAAGCCGTGTCTACACCTCACTTGGAGCAAATGGTAATAGTGAAAGAAGAAATGTCATGCATGATACCAGTCAAGGTGCACACTAGATCAAACTTGAAGCATCTCTCGACTATGCAAGTAAAGAAAGGCTTCAAGAGAGGGGAAGTCACATACTTGATAATTTTAAGAGAAGATGGGATAGTGGATGATAAGGGTACAAAAGTACCCAAAGAGATCGCTAATGTGCTTGTCGAATTTAACTATGCCTTTGAGTACAAGCTAAGCAAGACTAACGTGGTGACCGATGCACTTAGTAGAAAAGCCGAGTTGCATCACATAACAAAGGTGGATGGGGAGATCATGGCCGAATTAAGGAAGGAATAGAGCATGAACCCATCATCAAAAGTTTATTGGCTCTCTGCAAGGAAGGCAAGACTCGAAAATTTTGAAAGGAGGATGGCATTATCTACACAAAAGGGAGGAGAATTTATATGCCTAAGTGGGGAAACCTTCGATGAGATTTAATGAAGGAATGTCATGACTCGATATGGGTCGGACATCTAGAACAACAGACACTGTAGAGCCTTGTTGGAAGGAGCATACTTTTGGTCACGGTTACACGATGATGTGGAGTCTTATGTGAGAACATGTTTGGTGTACAAGCAAGATAAAATCGAAAACCGAGTGCCCGAAGGTTTATTACGGCCTTTGCCTATTGCGAAGAGACCATGAGAGACAATCACCATGGACTACATAGTGGCTTTGCCAAAATCAAAGAACTCGTGGGAGCATTATCGTAGTTGTGGATAAGTTCTTCGAGTATACCACTTTCATACCAGCTTTAGTAAATGTGACGATCGAGAACACCACTAAGCTACTCTTCAAACATGTGGTGAAGTATTGGAGCATGCCGCGACATATAATCCATGATCGAGATCCTCGATTCATTGGGAAGCTATAGATGAAGTTATTCGAGTTACTAGGCTCGAAGCTACATTACTCGATAAGTTTTCACCCTCGGATGGATGGGTAGATCAAGAGGGTTAATGCCTTGCTGGAGATATACTTGAGGTATTTTGTGAGTGCCAACCGGCGAGATTGGACTAAGTTGTTAGATGTTGCTCAATTCTCCTATAACTTGCAAAAGAGTGAGTTTACCGGCAAGAGTCCATTTGAGATTATGACGGGCCAGCGACCTCTCACTCTACATATAATGATGCTTAGTGACAAGTACCAAGGAAGCGGTCCAAGTGCATATTTGTTAGCCAAAGAATGACAGGAGTAGGCAGATTTGACGCGAATATATTTAAACAAGGTCGCTAAGAAAATGAAGAAGTAAGTCGACAAGAAATGAAGAGATATCACCTTGAAACCCAAGAATAAAGTGATGGTGAAGTTACTACCATAAGCAACATAAGGTATTTCGAAAGGTGTACAAAGGCCTCATACGACGATATGAATGACCATTTGAGATAGTGCACAAGATAGGAGAGGTGTCTTATCGTTTAGAGTTGCCATCGAAGCTAAAGATCCATCCGGTATTCCATGTTAGTATGCTGAAGTGATACCATACGGATGAGGAGGATCCAAGCCAAGGAGTTTCTTATAGGACGCCTATAGCAGTAGTTGATTTGTATGACAAAGAAGTTAACGTCATACTTGATGACCGCATAATCGGACGTCGTGGAGTGCCACCAAGGAAAGAGTATTATGTGAAATGGAATGGATTAACCGATAGCAACGCTAGTTAGGAACCCGCCGAAGCCTTGTGGCAATTCGCACGGAAGGTCAAAGAGTATAATAAAGGCACGTCGAAGACGTCGTCGAATTAGGTGGGGGAGAGTGTTACGCTCCACTTAAAAGAGGGATTTTACTAGAGGCTCTGGAAAATACTAGATAAGTCCGGAAGCTTCTGAAGAGTATAGAGTAATGGAGAAGCCTCTAGATAAGTCCGGAAGCTTCTAAAAGAGTAAGAAGCATTGGAAAAGTCTCTAGAATGATCTAGAGAAATCTAGACATGTTCTAGAGAATTCTAGAGAGTCCCTCACTAATCTTACATGTACATATCTAGATAGCTCCTTGTAAATATCTAGACAGGATATTTCTAGAGAAACAATTATAGCTATTAGATTAAATAAATCCTAGCCATACATTAAGGAGATTGAAGGCTATAAATAGGTGAGGTCTTCACTTGGCCAAGATACCTAGACATCCACAAATTTAAGAGAATGTATCTTTAGAGTTATAAGTTTTAGAAAGCAATACAAATAATTTTTATATCTCTTGTGTGTGTCTTTCTTGTTTAGCAACTCGTGTGAGGAAGGCTGAATTGGTTTATCTTAGAGAAAAAGAGAGTCAAATGCTGCATGTGAGCTTAGGAAAGGCTAAATCCGTGACAATGAACAGACAACCACTAGGAGAAGTAGAAGAAAGGATTGGAGCTGTGACGTTTTATGGTCATAGTACAAAAAAGAAGCTATAAGCTGTTGCTACCTTGGAGGAAAGTGAGATAAGATAGTGCTAAGAATACATAAGAGCAAGACTATTGAAATGTAGTGGTATTGATGGTATTTGCATCATAAGATAACTACAAAGTTGAAATAAAGGTTCGTAAGACAGCCCATATGGAACATAACATGCATGTCAGACTCAAAATGGATAAGAAATTTACAGTTAAAAGGAAGATTTATAAGACTGCCCATAGAAATAAGAAGAAATTTCACATGCTTTGGACAGCAAAACTTTGGTTGCAGAAGGAACTTTTTCTTTCTGCGTAAACGGTAGCTAATATTTAAATAAACAAACAGGAAGAGTATGGGATGTGGAGTTCTTATAAAGATACCCGCAAAGAAAGTTTAGAACCTTTAAATTATTTACTCAAGCACTCGGCACATAAGGTTAATCATTTGACGTGGATAAGATTATAATAGAGCTATATTTTGAGATTCGCCTCTACCTAGTTTTGTCCTGAAACGGATTTTGTCCAGATTCTCCACCTTTGGCATAAAAAAGTATTCTGAGAATGATAATTAGGATAATGGCAATTTTGTCCCCTCACCATTCGGATAGATACCATGAGTAATGTATGTCACAGAGTCAAATTAGTATGTGGCGAATCGATTGGAAAAGGAAACCAGAATGACTGCAAAAACTAACATGCATCTTTAATATTTATTTTTCTCCTGCCCTGAATATCAAATTATTGTACTTGACTGAATGTGTTTAAGTGTTTGTGTAGGTCAAACTCTTCAGTGCAGACATGAAATTGTGGATAATCCCCTTATGTTTATGGTCCATCACCGTCCAAGATTGTCCACTAAGCTGTTTAGACTTAAAAGTGCTTCTATTGGTGAGTTGCGATGCTATCCATTGTCAATGGAAGAGGAAAGCAATGAGGAGGCATTTTTTTTGTTAGTGGTTTAAGCTAATGGAAGACCGACAAGCATTGCAAGGTTCTCTTATTTAAAGAGGAGAGAACCTTCTGCTAAATGGTATGTGTCTTTTTGGAGGATTTTCTATGATATATTAATCGTAAAGTAAAACAAAACAAAATTTAGTGACTCGTTTTTTTTTATCTCCACTAGCATTCACCTTACTTTTCTTTACCCTATAAATACAGCTCTTGGTTACAGCTACGACTCACCTGTCTTCTGTAAGCCCTAGCTAGCTTCCCCTTTCTAAACCAACTTGGTATATTTTATCAATACCTAAGCTCTCTCTCTTTTTTTCTGACAAAGGATAGCGTTTGAATCCAATATCCTTTTTTCTAAGCTGCTAGTACATTCAATGGCTAACATTCCGACTGCAACTAAAGTTTTGGTTGTATTACTGGTTGTGTTCATGATATTCATGAGGTCTGAGGAGGCGCGAATCCACAAATCGAAGGACCTCGACAAACAACTTCTTTTAAGTAAAGTACTAAATACCAAACCAAAAATGGAGTTCCGTGGACGACGGATTTCCACATTGGAAGCACCTACTGATAGAGTGTCACCTTCAGGACCAGATCATGCACATCACTCTACTCCCCCAGAAAACCTTAACGAAGCAGCAGCTAGCGCTATGCAGGAGCTAGCACGTTTCTGGTTGCAGATATATGTTTTCTATTACTATATATATATATATATATATATATAAGCAGTGTGGCTATATATATTCTTGCCGAAATAAATTTACTGAAAATAAGAAAGAAAAAAAGTGGTGCTTTCTCTTGCACTGAACTGCTATGTATGATCCAGCAACCAAAAACTTGCACCAGTTGTGACAGCTTCTTTTGGTAGCATGTTGTGATGGAAGTTACATTGTTTTAACATGTAATTTACCTGTTATGATGTTGTGATATATATCTCTTTTTTCACAAAAATGAATTCCTTTCATATCTGCCCTCTACTGCACTTAGCTCATATTCTCATGTGTGGTTTGTGGCTTCTGCATGCACCTTGTGGGGTTGCACCTCCAACAAGATTACATAGCTCTTTTTTTCTTTTCTTTTTTATCCTCGTTCGTTTTCTTATCCCAAATTTCTCATAGCTAGAGATGATGAGAGAACAAGAATTTCCTTCCTTCATTGGTGTAGAAATCATCTTATTTTCTTCGAGAATAGCTATACGTAAATTCATTGTTAAACAATATACTCTGAACTGTTAATTTGTGTCCCATATGAATTCATGGGAGGAAAGCTCATTTTCAGCTGTTCTCGAATTATTAATTACTGAGAAAGTTTTACCCATAATTCACTGGAAAATCTAAACTATCGAGACGTAAAAAATTATGAGTAAATTATAAACTAGTCCCTCTCGTTTCAAAAAATGAATTAATTAGTCCTTTTAGTTTTAAAAATTAATCATTTAGTCTTCCTTTTTCATCAATATTCTTTTTATATTTTATATTTATTTTTTTCTTTTCGTTATACATCTTAATTACTTGTCCTGTATCTTAAAATTCAGGCAAACCCTTCTCGGGGGCAGTCAAGCCTTTGGTTTCGCTATCAAAATTTTATCATCATAAACTCTTCAAATCTTAGATGATATATATTTGTATGTCTTTTGTGTATTGAGGCGCATATTTGAGCAGAAAATCTTTAAGTGGTTCAATGAAGTGTGAGTTGCTAATTCATTCCAAAGAATTAATGGATTTAAGAATTTATTAAGTACTGAAGTCTAAAATCGATTTTATTATTTTCGCTGACAATTCATTACAATACATTAGAGAAACCCTCCAAAATTGCCCAATTCAACCTCCTTGTAGCAATTACAGAATTGACAACAAATTTCTTGGATTGTGTGAGTACATGATAAATTTTATTTTACTCAATGACTTTTATAGAAAAACATGCAAAAATAAGAGTGAGAATTTGTTTTTTTTAAAAAAAATGAATTTAGATAAAACTATTTTTATCACATTTAACAGTTTTAGATGTGATTTTCTTTCTCTTTTTATGTCGGTCTTTTCTTTAAAATAAACTTATAAAGTAATTATTGTTAATTACTCCTTTAAGTATTTTTAAAAATTTCAAAAATGAGAATAATTTAAGTAAAGCAATTATGATGGTAACTATTCTTGTTGTGAATTCATTAATAATCGTTAACAAATTTTAATAATATATATATTTTCTCATATACTTGCCAAACATAAACGACAATAACATTTCTAGAAGGTAGCTAGAAACATATAAACAATACATTATAGCTATCAAAAAGTTGAAAAATATGAAAACATGAAATTGAAATACAAATATATATATATATATATATATATATATAAAATCATTTTTATATGTGAGCTATTATATTATATAGTATCGTAACAGTTAATAACAGTATTTTAGTAATTTTCACTGTGATAGTCATTATCGGTATTATTGTCGTTATTAGTGTGATTTTCAATAAGGATGAATCATAGTAAAGAAATACCTTGATTTTGTTGAATAGAAATTGTTATTTAAAATTACGGTTGGATGGCACCTATGTCTCTCCACTCTAAATAAGTTTAATTTGCTTTCAATCCTCTTTCTTGTAAAAAATAAAAAATAAAACAAGAAGACAAAACCCTCTTTTGATCATCTTATAAAACCATGTGTCTCCGAATTAATGGGATTTGCACTTTATATTTTCAAGTTTCAAATCATTTCGATAACTCTGACCGGAAAAATCATTTGGATATATATGTCCACTAATTACACATTCATGCATGCCACAATTTAAAAAATGCCTAAGAGTACTCTGGGTAAAATAGGTGCCCAAAGCTTTCTCCTTCGGCAGTATTGGTGGTAGGAAAAGTAGCTTAAACATATAAAATCACAAGAATTCTGAGTTATGTGCTGACCGTCCATTCAAATCAAGGTTTCCAATATCCAACTATATATATACACGTCCACTCTAGAGGGCGGTCTAATTGTAATTAAATCATCCATTTGTCTATAGTGTTGCGCGTGTGTGTGCATGACTCGGAGGCAGAGATTATTTAGAATCTTAACTAGTTCATTGTGTGTGCTATACTACACCCAAAATCAAATTATTTTAATTTGGTACTCCATATATTATATGTATATATCTATTAAAATATATCAAATTAAAAGATAAAATTTAAAAAAAAATCTAATAATTTTTTAATTAAAATCTTTTATGTCAGATTTTTTTTCGTTGATATCATTGTCTCTAAGCTAGGAATTATAAATATTCTATTTCAGCCGTACATCATAAGAAAGCCCATCAAATTTTGAAATAGAATTATTGGTTAAAGTTATGTAAATGGCCATTGGCCTAGACCCATTCAAAAGTAGGTCAAAAGTAAACCAAGACCCTAATCATTCATGAGAAGTGCAATAAGATATTTAAAATTGAAACACTAAAGCTCTTTTCTAAAACAAAAAGAAGTGGACTTTAGGTTTAAATTGTACAGTATAAAACACACACACACACAAAACCATACACACATATATATATTGTTCTCATTTAAAAATCATAAAAATTTATCATATAAATTATATTGACACATTTTAGAAAAAGAAAAAAAATCACATACTAAAAGTTTATTTAAAAATTCATATATTGAGAAAAATAAATCATATTTTTTTTGACAAATAAATTATATATATATATATATAAAAAAGAAATAAATTGGATGTTTTCATAAATAAAAAAATGACAAATCAAAGAAAATATATTTTTTAACCACCAAGCTGTAAAAAAAGGTACTTTTTTTTCATATATTTAGCACAAAATCAATAAAAAAAATTGCTAAAAAATTACAAAAGAAAGAAAAAAAACAATCGCCCAACTAGCTTGGGCTAGCGACATATATATAAAGAGTAGCGAGATGACGCGTTGTCCGTCGCAACTTTTGACGAACTTTAATTCACCGAAATAATATGTCGAAAATTGGATTTTTAGGTATTTCGATCCCAAATCTCAACTCGTGTATTATTTTTGCTCTAAGCACTTTAAAAACACCCAATGTGGTAAAAAAAAAAGTTTGGAACCTTAAAATTGATTATAATGCACATAAAAAAAATTATATTCAAAAACTAATAATATTTCAAGGTTTCTATCTACCTCTTTCCATCATTTTAAGCTTTAAAATCACAATAAACAAACCTAGTCTCTAAGATAAACAAATTGAATAGAACATTATCGGCCAAAATGTTCAAAATAAGCCTAGTCGGTCCTCTCTCTCTTCCCCTTCCCTTTGGTTCTTTTTGTTTCTCTCACTTTCCGCACTCAAAGACTAAAGTGTGTGAACTTATGGATCAAAATAAAAAATTTTAAAATATTAAGGACCAAAGCATAAAATTTTGTATAATTTGCATATAATTGTCGAAAAAAGCTTAAAAAATCATGAAAAACCAAGTGCCGAGTCCATAGTGCCACCGAGTATGTAGCTATAGTAAACTCAACAATAAACCCTCCAAATGTTTTTTTTTATTTTTTATTTTTTTTGTAATGCTTCAATGTAGATAAAGGTTGAATGATTAAAATACTTTTATATTGCAATACAAATAGTCGTCACTTTCAAGTCATATGCTTAATATCTAAGGTTTGTAAGAAATATCTCTTGCTTTGGCTTATGTGTTATGTCTTATTTTAAATTTATAATTTACAACTAAAAATTTAAAGTCTATTAGATTTTAGTAGTGAACTAAGTATATTCATGATGGATGGACATACAAAGTTATGTTAAAAAAAATCATCAGCCTAACCATATAAATATTAAGTTAAGTCTTGTGTCATTTATCACTACACATAAAATGTTAAAGTATTGGCATAGATTATAAGATTCTTTCTCTTTGATGGCACTAGTTTTTCTTCGACAATAGCTTAAGCAGCCTAATGAATCATGACATGAGGCATATATCCCATTAATTTTTGTTGCACTTATATTCTTGGACATATTTATTTTATTTTCTATATGGTAGTTGTTGCGGGGCTTTTTGTGCGACCTTAACTAAAAGAATTTTGTAATAAAAAAAGTAAAAAAAATTATTGGAAAGTATTTTATAGGACAATAAATCTCCTAATCATACAAATAGAATTGACATTTTTTTTTTCTCGTTCTTTGCACGATTTGGCAAACCTTTTGCTTGAACTTGACTATTTATTAGAGTTCCTTGAATTATTTTACTTATCAAATTGTTTTATTGTTAGTGTTGAATTATTGGTTTGTTGTTGTTGGTTTTACTTTATTGAATTATTGATTTTACTTGATAGTTTGAGAGTGTTGAATTGTTACTTTTATTTTTTTTGAATTGTTGCTTACTTGTTTTTACTTTATTAAATTATATTATAGTTGTAAGTCGGAGCATAATAAATCACCGCCCACTAGCTAGTGGCTAGTTTTGGCTTCATATTTATGCAATTACTATCCTAAATCAACAAGCCTACAATGCTCTCATGGGTCACCTTATTGTACCAAAGCATTATTACCATTGGTTTTGATCCATATGGAATAACCATTAAGCAGAGAATGGTCCTAAAGATGGGCATGTTTAAGGCTTTCCTTTTAGCAACAACTATAATGCTTTGGATTCCTACAATTATGCCATATGCTATAGTTTTTTTTATGGGACATTGGTAAGAAATCTCAGCTTGTTAGAAAATGCATGCTCCTTTCAAAAGTACGGATAATTACGAATTGATCTAGCAATTAAAGAATATTAAGGGATATGAGATGATTGTTTGGTAGTTGAGTGAGGCACATGGTTTCGAAAAAGGGAAGATGTTTCCTCTTACTCGAGCTCTTGATTTAAGTATAGCCATTGACTTAATAAAAGATTATTAAGATTACAAATAAATGAAGGTAAAGCAAAGCCCATTTCTAGTCCCCAAAAGGCAAAGTCGTGGATCCAAATAGATCAAGAGAAAATATTTGTTTTCATAATTTAAAGCAAGTGGCATCGGCCATCGGCTTATAATTGTTCCCTACATTGTAGATGCAAAATGCAATGGGCACCGGCTTATAAATGTTTCCTACATTGTAGATGCAAAATTCATTCATATACATTCAATGATCATGATAGTTCATTACTATATTTTCCTTCTACTTTGTATTTTCTTCAAATAAATTCTTCAAAAAAATAAAACGAGTAAAAATTGAATTATTGAACATTGAAACCGATATATTTCAAAATCGAACCGAAAAATCAAATAACAATTTGGTTCGGCTTTGGTTTTTTTTTTTTTTGAAAATTTAGTTGATCGAAAACTTGTAAAAAAAATTGAAACCAAACAAACACCCTAGTTATATAAATTGAACTAAGATGATTAAAAAGTCTAAAAAACAAGACATCCACACCTATAGGTTTTATGAAGAGCCCAAAACCAAAATCGATCTCTAACTCGATTCGAAATCAATTCAAGAGCTACAAAATAAAACCTAAAGTCCTATTCAACCACAAGTCCTAATTGATTTTGAAAACAATCCTAAATAGAACTTGTACCCTTGCACATGTGTAAATAACCTAAGGTCCGCATATTCGGAACATATTATGTTAACAAGAGAACTTATTTTATTTTATGCAATTTTATTAAAGATGCAAGGCTAATTCTTATTTTTTGATTCAAGAGAAATGTGAACTTTGAAGAACAACTTGTGAGAATCTTGATTTTATTTTATAATATATTCATCTTTACTATCTTTTATTCTTTCAAATTAATGAATGATATTCTTGTTTTTAATTACTTATGAGACATACTAGGTAATTGTGATCGATGAATAATTACTAGATTACAGTTTATAATACGTGAAAGTTATAAAACCTATTTATAAATAGCAATAGAGTTTACTCATTTCTACTATTGATATCACTATAAGCCTCGGAGAAAAAGAGTATAGATTAAACCAGTTGAGCTTACATGTTGATCGTTATTTAATTCGTTAATATTATTATTGAATTACATGTAAATAACTTGTTTTATGTGATTCGATAATAAGGATTCAAATGGCAAGTTATTGTGTTTGATGATTAAATAAGAAGAACATAGCTAATCTACGCTTTTAGATTATTATAAACCAAATGGTAAATCATGAATAATGCCTTTAAATGTCATCAATGATTAGCTTGCAAATTGAAGGTAAAGTTTACTTTTGGACCATATAATTCCTTCTTTTTTAAAAAAAATTTGCCTTTGGTTTTATTATTTTTTTCATCCGTTGAAAAAATTAAACTACAAGCTCCCTCTTCTTTATTTATTCATCCGGATCGAACATAAATAAGATTAGAAAAGCAATCATATTAGTCTTTGTAGGATCAACCTAGACTTACCATTATCTATAGTAATCAAACTTAGATAATCAATTTTGCGGTGTTATGGCACGTTATTATTTGCAATCGAAATGTCGAAGCAATCTTAGAATGAAACATTGGAAAGTTACTAAGAAAGTTATAAGATATCTTCAAGGAAACAAGAATTACAAACCGACTTACAAACATACTAATCATCTTGAAGTGGTTAGTTATTTAGATTTATATTTTACTAGTTTTATGGACACAAAAAAGTTTACTTCATTATACATTCTTCTTCTAGCTAGAGGAGTTGCATCTTAGAGAATTAGCAAGAAAAATATTATTGCTTCATCTACCATAAAAGCATAAATTATTGCATGTTGAGAAGCAATGCCCCAAGCTATCTCGTTAAGGAATTTTATTTCTAGTCTAAAAGTTATAGATTCCATATCAAAACCAAGTAAAAATTTATTATGACAATTCGATCGAACCTTTCTTCTCTAATAATAACAAGAGTAATAGCCAAAATAAGCATATTGGTATAAAATATCTCATTGTGAGAGAAAAAGTGAAAGAACATAAAGTGCTTACCGAGCATATTAGCACCGAACTAATGGTTACAAATCCCATGACTAAGCACCGATGACAATACAAGTATAAAGACGTGGACAAGACGGGTCTAACTAACTCATTTAATGTTTGAATTTATTTTCTTTTTATTGATTGTATAGATATTTTTATATTATTATCGGATATTGATATGATTTTTATGCACATAAAGTATTATTTTTATATCCATTTGCATATATAAAGCTGGAGTTGAATGACTTATTTAAAGTTCATTCATAAATTTTATTGACTCTTAAGTACTTATTTTGAGAATGCAATGCATAGTAGTAATACATGAAATGAAGTATTTGGATGTAAATTATAATCGTTATGATTCATACAAGTGTCATACAATGTACTCATGATCTAAATCGATTAGTATTTTCGCTTACTAGCTATTTTGGACTCTATAAAAGAATTGTCATTTTTTCGGATAGTGTTATATGGATTAAGTGAGAGACTATAAGAAATATCTCGTAGCGGGGCCCTTGCATCATGTCTTATTTTAAATCTATAAATAACAATTAAAAATTTGAGTCTATTGGACTCTAGTAATGGACTAAGCACATATATGTCATTAAAAAAAGATTCATTGCATATCCATATAATTATTAAGTTTAGTCTTGCGTCATCTATCAACACACAAAACCTTAAATACTTAAATACCGATATAGACTAAAAGACTCTTTCTTTTTTACAACACTAATTTTTGACAATAACTTAAACACTTAATCAATCATCTTATGAGATATGTATTCTACATATTAAATTTATCTTATAAGATTTTCATAAAATCTCCAAGATTTACAAGATTTTCATAAAATCTCCAAGATTTATATCATGTAACAAAATATGGTTTTTTTTTTTTTTACTTGTATTTGTCAACCCCACAAAAAACTTATCTTCTAAAGAAAATACCAAAAAAAAAAAAAAGCCTAGGTAAAAACAATAAATTCTTTTGCTAGCTAGTTAACCCTAAGTAATGTTTAATTGCTTTTGGACTCGAGTTTATTAATATTATTCTTTTGGGTATGTTGTTGCATCAATAGATCATGCATGATTATTAGAGCTATTCTTGCCATGTTGTGCCATTGTCGTAAGCTAGCTAGCTTACAACCTAACTAGCACAATATTTACAGTGTTACGCTATACATCCAAGTTTTTAGGCAATGGAAGAGCATCCACCCCAAGGCATACACCAAACTAGTGGCTAGCTAAGCTAGGGCTAAACCAATTTCAATGTATAAAAGAATAAATATAGCTTATATTTGTGAGATCATGAATTATTAGAGTCATATAAAATCATTCATACGGCTTCACCTAACAATTTAAACTTTTAAATTACGATGATTCTTTAACATGGTATAAGAACCTTATTGACTAAATGATCACAAATACAAATCTCATCACTTCTATTTATCTTCTAATTAATTAAACATAAATTAGTGTAGATTTGTACAAATTTTAAAATCAAAGGGCTTTGATTTGAGAAATTATGTTAGAGGGCCATATAAAATTATTTTTATAGTTTCACTTAACAATTTAAAACTTTTGAGTTGAGATAATTTTTTGACTTGCATGAACTATATCTTGCATAACATTTTCGTTTTACGTTGTTCAATGAATTTTGGAAGTCAAGTGGTCGGTTGCTCTAGCTTGACCGTTTCGATTACCTCTCAATAAAATTTCTCACTCAATAGCTACTTTGAATTTATTGAAAGAATTCAAACTAATTATCCCAAACATTAGTTAATCGCTAGTTCGAAAATATATAACCTTGAAAAGAATCCTGATGACAACGCATATATGGACAAAAAAATTACAATATTCTTTTTTATAATTACTATTCAACAATCAGGAATATATTTAGATCACTTGCTCGACAATCGAGTCTAGGTCGGCTCTCCAGCACAATGCGTATGTTGCAACAAATTAATACAACCTTCTTCAAGTCATCCACTACATTGTGCTCCTTTATGTATCTTGGATTTCAAGAACTTGAGTGCACATTTTTTGTCCTTCTTCTTCATTGCCACATGAACCTCACTAGCAAGGGCAATTAATCGATGTATAGTCACACTAACTTGCGTGGAGCCACGTATGCCTTCCAGATATTATCGAATATATGGTGTAAAGTTTATACAAAAATAAAGGCAATTCATAGCTTGTATTTAAAAATTTGGCGCCGCCAGTGCATGATAATTATTAAATTTAATTGTTAATTAAAGCTATAGGTAAAGAATTATTAGCGCATCGAATCAAAACCTAGGATGGCGGTGCCCTATAATCTACTCCAGAGGAGATAACAGAAGCTTTGTGAATGGAGGACTTATCATTTTCCATGTATGATTTGTTGTCATATCCTATCTGATTTATCTACCAAGAATTATAACGTATGAAAGCTAGGGTTTATATGTCTATGGCTTTTACGATGAGTACAAGAAAGAAAGATTAACACTAAAAAAATTAAAAGGTATTACTGCTTTATGATCAAAAGGGTCAATGCCTATTTGCAAATGCCAAATGACTTAAGGTTATTATAATTGGCTAAACGCCTAAACTGCAAAAGAAATCCACCGGCCTTGACATATGGTATGTCCATTATGTTGTTCAGAACATGGCTTATTCCCATTTGATTGGGTTGTGTGGCCCTATAATGAAATTAACTTTTAATTAGTGAAATTTTTTGACAACATTTATTGATGAAATTAATGCAGTAGTGTAAACCTATATTTTACTGGCATTTAAAGCAGTTGTCATTATAACTAAGATGCATTTTTTGTTAGTTATGTTATTATTTATGAAAAACTAGCTCGATGATTGTTGGTTTTAGTTTTTTTTTAACAAAAAAATTCAAAATAAATAATTTTTTTTTCTATTCAAATTAACATGGTAAAGGATCCTTAACGATTCCCCAATTACTAAATTTGGGAAATCAAACAAGGAATTTACCTTGTTCAAAAGGATGATCGGAGGCAAAAGTTCACTTATACATTTGGGAGATCGATTATATATATATATTAGATAGAGATATACTATTTATTATCAGGAATCCAAACAACAAAGAGACTATACGGTTAGGATATCCTTTTCTAGGCAAAACCATGTGCATTATGACCATCCAACTTCGATCCCATGTGGGCACTATAGATTTTTTGCAAATGATCAAATGGAATAAACCACTATTTTGAGAGAAAGCAAACCCTTTGGCATACATGTTGACCTTTAACATTACTTCTTTCCTTATTTGTAATATTCTTCTTACTTTAAAATCCAATTGTCATCCAAAGTGTAATGATAGAGAAGCACAGATGACTAGACCTTCCCCTTATCATTTTGAGAGAGAGATGCTTTTCATAAAGAGAATGGAATGGGACATAAACATAAAGGTGACATACATAATAAAAACACAGAACGGCTCCATGTATAAAGTAGACGAAAAACATGCTGTGGATGGACCTTGTCGGTCTCCACATTCTCTCCACTAAACGTGTCCCATCTTAATTACTTTGGTCTTTGATTTTGACCTATAATTATGAAATTCTATTTCCATGCAAGCTACTACTTTCTTCTTTGGGAGCTCAAGCTACTAGCTAGATATAGCACTCTCCTTACCAAACTTAGCTATACTCTTCAACATATATATCTACTAGTACATGGCTAGCAAAGTAACTTCAACTTCGAGGGCAATGATACTGTTGTTAATGGTTTTATTCTCAGCGATCTTCTTGACTTCACAAGCACGTAGCCTCAAAGGGGATCAAACCATGCAAGGAAATTTTAGAAGTAGCCACCACCTTTTGCTTGAGTTAGGTTTTGATCTCTCCAAACTTGAGCATTATCGAAGGTTGTCGGAACATGGTGTTGACTCTGATAGACTTTCACCAGGAGGACCAGATCCTCGGCACCATTATTGACCAAGTTGTTTTAGGGAGCTCCAGCTTCCTAGATAGATTATATCTAAGCTTCGAGTTTAATAACAATTTTGGAGCTTTTTGAGATCTTGAGTGTTTTGTGTGTGTGTGTGTTTTATTTTCCTTGTCTTAATTCTACAACGCCCATGACATAATGTTCATCGTACAGAATTAAGTCCACCATTTCCGTTCGATGAAAGAAGGCTCTCGGATCTCTTTTTTTTTTTTTTTTTTTTTTTTTTTTTATCGTGTTAAATGCATGTGGAATTGGCTTCTTCTTCTTCCTTTTTTTTTTTTTCCAAAAATAATAATTTTATTAAATTGAAATTGAAGAAGCCTTTTATCTCTAGATCATAAGTAAAAAAAATAAAAGAATTATCTATTAAGAGAATAAAACGAACTTACATTCTAATATAAAGAAGCCCAAAAACATACTATAAAATAAAAATTAAAGATTCAGAATCCGATCTAAAATTTTAAAAATTATTATACAAAGACAATTCACTAATAACTTTGCTATCATGATTTTTCACTTGATACTCTTTTTTTTTTTTTTTACTAGCTAGAAAAGAAATCTGAATACTGATTTATTAACTTTTTTTTACTAGCTAGAAAAGAAATCTGAATACTGATTTATTAACACTTTTTGTAAAGCTTATGTTGTAGTTAAAGATCCATAAAAGGATAGAAGAACATGAAAAATAAGAAAAAACAACCTTAATTTAATAAAAATACTAGAAAATTTGGATAAATATAGAAAAAAACATCAGCTTTAGTAAAAATGATATTAGATATGAAATTATTGGAAAGAAACATTGAAAAAAAAATGCTATTACGGATGGCGGCAGCCATGAAAAAAACTTAAGAAAGTCTCAAAATTCTAGAAATAAAAACTTTTGCTAGGGTTTTAATTGATGATACGTGTACACTAGACGGAATTGACTTAATTAATAACGCTTTAAGAGACAAAACTAAATCGTTTTTTTTTTTTTTTTTTGAGTTTTTTCCTCGATGATATGACGGAAAAACTCAACTATTTCAAAAATATTTACCACTTCATACACGGAAACCCTAAAAGAAAAACTCACAAAATACACGGAAAGAATATAACTAGAACACGTGAGGCAAAAACAGACAAACAAACATGGGGTGGCACGGTACAATTGCACCATAACGAAGCACAAGAAAAAGATAATTTTTTTTTAAAAAAAAAAAAAAAAGAAGAAGAAGCTTAGCAAGCTATCCAAACTCAGAGATCAGTTTCTGTAAGACTGGGGTGGCCGTAGTTGGGCTTTACGGTTTTTTATGGTGGGCTCACCGATGTAGCTTTATGGCTTTGCTGTTGGTGGGCTAAATTTACATTTGTGGTTAAGAGATTTTTAAGAGCCCATATAACTGTTTTCGTATAAGAAAATATTCAAGTCAATCGGAATATTAGTTCGTTGTCTGCCTAATTGAAGTGAACTTGCCGTCTGGTATGTAAGTTGCGTTACGTAATGTATTTGAAAGTGTAATTTATTATTATTTTTTAATAATATGTTTGAGTTGAAAAAAACATTCAATCAAATGTATTTAAATGATTTTGATGTCAAAATCACACTATAAAAACACTTATATCAAATTGAGAGAGAAAAAGGAATAATAATAGCAGCAAAAATAAAAAATAACATCCGCCTTAAAAATAAGTCTCTTTCTCCTCCCCACTATTATAATAATGAGTAAATTACAAATTAGTTTCTATGGTTTTGAGAAACGAATTAATTAATCTATTTTAAAAAACTAATTACATAATTTTTATATTTTTAAAATTTTTTTAATAATTTATTTTTTCGATTTATTTTAATTTTTCATTTTAAGAAATACAAAAAAAAATAATTAAATTTTAAAACAAAAAAAAAACTATTTAATTAGTTTCTAAAAAAATAATGAAACTAATTTATAATTTACTCCCTAATAATTTTGAAGGGCAAATCTCGATTTAGCTCTTAAATTGTAACGTAAATTTGAATTCGATAGTGGATCTTTTAGATATTCATAAATTCATAATTGATTTTTCCATCTCATCTCGTCACAAATTTTTACTAATAACATCAAACCCCAATAAACAACATCGTTTTTAATGAGGAAAAAAATTTATATGGAAGTAAATGTGAATTTGGAAATTCAATTCATAATTTTCTATAATTTTGGAGATTCAATTAAATCAAAAGAAATATCTACAAACTCAAATAAAAATTCCTATAATTAGTGAAATTATTTAAGATGGTCCTAATTTTAACTTGATTCATGTGCTTTGTCGACTTACATATGTCATAACCTAATTTTCACTTCCAAGTTTTACAAATTTCTTTCAAAAATCCAAAAACCCAAAATTTTGTGTGATTTTTCTCGAATTTGTGAACTTCGAGTGAAAATAAATGAGCATCGAAAAACCATAACCGTAGAGTAAATTGAAGTAAAAATATAAGAAAAAATGAGTGGCATAAAAAATAAATATCATGTAAAGAAGAAAAAAATAGACAAAAGAAAATAAATAGATGACTGAGTTGGATATCCTATCCTTGGTTCATTTTTATAAGACCAAACAAAAACCAAACATAGAGGACAATAGAAGCCATTAGAAATAAATTATAAAAGAAAAGGGAAAATAAATAAATAAATTCTCTCTCTCTCTCTCCTTCTCTCTCATGACCCACGTCGGAATCTACCCTCGCCATGGAAATACCCTCCAAAATCGAGCACCGACCTTCTCTCCATCATCTCCGACCACAGCAGCCCCCTCCGATATTTTTGTCAAAATGGATCCAATTATCATTTACAGAGGATGTTGGATGAACCTTGTGAACATGATGCAATATCCTGTAGGGTTTGTTTTTCTTCTTCATCGCAGGGTTTCATTTACATTTTTTGCAACATGTTGAGTCGCCAAATCCTGTCGTATTTCGAACATGTTTGACTTCTGTTGTTTTGTCTGTTGTCATGTGCTTTGTTGTGATATAAAAGGCATCATGTTGTTTGGTAACAAACTTTTGTGTGTTGTTCTATGAATAAAATTATTTAATGTTGGATAATCTATTATTGTGCTGTTTGAATTAAATTACCATCAAAAAGTGACTTAAAATAAACATTTCTTTAAGAAATTAAATTAAACTATTTAAGAAATGAATTCTCTTTTTAAAAAAATGAACACAAATATTATAAAAAACATAAATAAAAAAGAAAAAAAAAGGAAAGAAACGAGAATCAAAGAAATATATTAGAAAAATAAAGAATGTAACACTAGTGTGCGTATTTAAAAAAAAAAAAAAAAAGAAAGAAAGAAAGAAACAAGAATCAAAACAATAAATAGATTTTTTAAAAATAAATATAGGTATTAAATAATTTAGCTGAGAAAGGTAATAACAATGTATGTGTATATATATATATATATATATATATATATAGAGGATAAACTACACTATATATAATTTTGTATTTTAAAAATATTTAAGGTTATTTTTTCTTTTAAATAAAATAAGCAACCTTATATCTCAAAAAACTCACTTTCCATATTTTTTTAAGTAAAACCTAATATATATTTAACCTATATATTTATATAAAAATCACATTTCACTCTCAAAAGTTAAACAATTGATTTTTAAAATCCTTACAAACCTCTTTTTTTGAACTTCTAATTCTTCTTTTTTTTTTTTTTTTTTTTTTTGTAAACAAAACAGTAAAAGTTACAAAAATAAAAATCAAACGGACTCTTTATGCATTATAGAAACGAAGTTTCTTTCCGTAGTTGTGTTGCTTTTGTTTAAACAACTAAATTGTATGTTCTTATGCTATTCATGTCATATTTTTAGTTAGCAATTAATAAAAAAGAGACAGCATGCCAATTTTAGGAAGTAGAAAATGAATATTATGTGCTACAAATAAGGCATGATCAAATGAAAATCATGGGAATGTGTCACACAATCAGAAGAATTACGGTTTTGTTTCATTAATTCCAAACTTTGGATACTTTTTTGAGATTTTGTTAAACACAGAGGACTGATTTATAATATATCCCTATTATGTTTTCACCTGTCGTTTCATGTTACAACTCAGGGCTCTCTCTCTCTCTCTCTCTCTCTCTCTCTTCAGTTTTGACTTAAAACAGAGCACTCCCTCCCCTGTTGTTCAGTTTGAATTTTGGCCTTGATTTTGCCACATCAGCACAATTTTAACTCCTCCAAACCTGCAACCACCCTCCCGGCGCGTGCGAAATTCTGCCGCCTCCTAATTCCTTTCCACTTCTCTAAAAAATCAACTATTACGTTTCACGTACCAGTTTCCCACGTGAGCGAACCCTTCAAAATTCCACAATCAAAACTCCGCGCCACTAAACTCTCTGATATTCCCACTCTCGCGTCCACGCCACCAAAACACCTATCCCCTCTCTGATTCGCTCGTGTAATACACGTATTGATAAACACGTGGGTCTAACTTTCTCGAAAGTAGATAGGATACTCACACGAGCACGACTCTTAAAAACACGAACGCACATGCACCGTACACCTGTAAAATAAAGGGTGGGGAAGCAAAGTGAAGAGCTCTAGAGAGAGAAAGATAAATTCTAGAGAGAGAAACATTTTTTTAGAGAGAGAAAGTTTCTTATTTTTTTCTTAAGTTTTAGAGAGAGAAAGCGAAACCCAAAAAAAAAAAAAAAATCGAAGATCTCCACAAAATCAGAGCTCGAAACCCTAACCTTCACTCTCTTTCTCTCTCTAGAAATTTCTGTCTTTGTGTGTTTGGCGATGTGTAGATACACGATTCTGTATGTATAGTTTTTAGATCGAGAAAAAGATTCGATAAAGGTTCGTGTTTTATCCTAATTTCTTGTGGTTTCTTTGTGTTTTCTTTTGCCCTAATTGAATTTCTATGTGTGTTGGGCTTGATTTGGGAGTGAAATTAGGGCTTTTCTTTGGGGTAGTGGTTATATAGGAAACCCTAATTTTGGGGTTTGAGGGGATTAGGGTTTTGAAAGAGGGAATTTGAGGAAATTAGGGTTTTGAAAGAGGGATTGTGGGGGAAGTTAGGGTTTTAAAGGGGCAACTTAGGGTTTTTGGGTGGTACATGTATGGCTTCTGGGAGTGTAGTAGGAGAAGGAGGAAATGAAGGAGGAGAGGTTAGAGAGAAACAAAGGTATACAGAGAGTAAGGTTTATACTCGAAAATCCTTTAAAGGGCTAAAAAAGAACAGCCTCACCACCACCACCAAGAACACCGCCACCACCACTGATAACAACAACAGTAACACAAACCTAACGACAACCACCATCACAGCCACTGCAGACAACAACAACACCACAGCAACAGCTGCCACCGCCGTTACTGAAACTACAACTGCTCCAACAACCACCTCCACTGTTGCAACTGAAACTGCAGCTGCTCCAGCCAATACCTCCACGGCTGCAACTGAAACTGCAGCTGCTCCAGCCACTACCTCCACTGCTGCAACTGAAACTGCAAGTGGAGCAGCAACTACAACTGCTAATGAAACTAAGGACAAGTATAACAACGAAAAGGACTTGGTTGAAGTGAGAGAATCGGAACCTGTAGCTATAGATGTCACGGACCCTGCCCGGCAAGCGCAACAGCCTGTTTCTCACTCAATTGTGGTTTCAGATGATTCCGCCAGTCTAAATAGGCCGGAAGTTCAGGAGGTGGTGCCTAGTGTGAGAAAGCAAGTTGTGGGGAGGGAGCAGGATGTGGGGAATGGGGTGGTGCTGAAGGAAGGGTTGGACAACAGGTTAAAGGTGGATTTGTTGTCACGATCAAAGCAGGAGAAGAGAGAGCTCAGAAAGAAGTTGGAGAGTGAGCTTGATATGGTGAGGAGTTTGGTGAAGAAGATTGAGGCTAAAGAATTGCAGCTTGCTGTTGGTCGATTGACTAATCCTCGGGTGGTGTTGGTGAATGATGGGGTTGATAATAGATTGAGGAGGGTTAATTCAGAAGTGGGATCGGTGGGTGTTCCCCGTGAGAGTACTACTCCTATTCTTACTCCTACTCCTAGGCAGTCTAGGCCCTTGAATCAGCTTAGTATATCAGTGCTGGAGAATAGCCAAGGTGTGGGTGAGTTTGTGGAGAAAGAGAAGAGGACACCAAAAGCAAATCAGTTTTATAGAAATTCCGAGTTTTTGCTTGCAAAAGACAAGTTTCCACCAGCCGAGAGTAACAAGAAGTCAAAATTGAATGGGAAGAAGCAAGGGGCAGGGGAATCAGGATTCGGGTTCGGGACAAGCACTAAGATTTTCAAGAATTGCAGTGCTTTGCTTGACAAACTGATGAAGCATAAGCATGGTTGGGTGTTTAATACTCCTGTTGATGTGAACCGTCTTGGTTTGCATGATTACTTTACCATTATCAAGCATCCTATGGACTTGGGCACAGTGAAGTCCAGGCTGACCAAAAATTGGTACAAGTCCCCAGAAGAGTTTGCAGAGGATGTGAGACTTACATTTCACAATGCTATGAAGTATAACCCGAAAGGGCAAGATGTTCACGTAATGGCAGAGCAGTTATTGGATATATTTGAGTCTAGGTGGGCTGTTATGAAGTCGGATTATGATCGTGAGATGAGGTTTGCCTCTAGTTATGAGGTGGGAATTCCCACACCTACATCAAGAAAAGCTCCTCCATTTGTACCACCCCCTCTTGATATGAGGAGGATTTTGGATAGATCAGAATCAATGACATATCCAATTATTGATACCAGACCCAAACCCATTATCACTACACCTTCTGTTAGAACCCCTGTTCCAAAGAAGCCTAAGGCAAAAGATCCACATAAGAGAGACATGACTTATGACGAGAAGCAGAAGCTTAGTACAAACCTCCAGAGCTTACCTTCAGAGAAACTGGACAACATTGTACAGATAATAAAGAAGAGGAGCTCAGCACTCTCCCAACATGATGATGAGATTGAAGTAGATATTGATAGTGTTGATGTGGAGACTCTGTGGGAGCTGGATAGGTTTGTGACCAACTATAAGAAGAGTTTAAGCAAGAATAAGAGAAAAGCTGAACTTGCTAATCAAGCTAGAGCAGAGGCTCAGCAGAATGCGCATCAGAAGGTAAAGCCTTTGACCATATTTCTCAACCTTAAGCATACTTCCTAAGAGGAATTTGTGGTTGCTAAATGTCATCTGCTGATATTTCTTTGCAGATCCCAGCACCAGTCGTGGTGGAGGCACCGAAAGAAACAAAAGCAGGTAGGTTTTCTGATTGTTAGTATTAATTTCATTTTGGTTACTGTATGGTTTGGTTGTATTGGTTATTTGAAACACTGTTTCTTCTGCTGGCAGATGAAAGGAACGTCTCCACTGTGTCACCTGTTCAAGTGGAGAAACAGGGAGACAATGGAAGCAGGTCTAGTAGTTCAAGCAGCTCCAGCAGTGATTCTGGATCTTCTTCAAGTGGTACTGCATCACATTTCTATTTTCTTTGCAATTTGTGTCATTGTTATGTCTCATATATTTGTTCTGATGTTTTGAGAAGCCTTCTATTTATTTTTCTTTATCTGCATGATTATTGCAGACTCTGACAGTGACAGCTCATCAGCGTCTGGATCTGATGTAGGAAATTAATTGAGTACTTGGGTAGTTCAGGTGGGTACATATTCTCTTGTGGTTTCTTGAAATGTTTGTACATTTTCTGGCTTTTCTCCTCGTTTGTTGATTATACAACAAAATACTTGGCTTCTGCAATGTCACCTTATTGTCATATTAACCCATGTCTGCTCCAGACTGCAAGTGTTGCCTGCAATCTAGTAACAATACTGATAGCGTGGTTGCTGTTGTTGGTGGTGGAGAGAATGCATGGTTGCTTAGGACTTGCAGGATGTTTAGGAACCAATGTTACTTGGAACATCATACATGGTTTGCTACCCCTGGAACACGGTACAAGGGGGTAGGCTTAGTATAGTTGCTGTTTAGGGTAGTGATTTGTTTTTATGCGGGTCTTCCATATTTGTCTATATATAATCTATAGATAGAAGTATTGTATGAGTGCATACAGACTAAAACTTCCGAACAAGATAATTTCCATCCTTGGCTCTAGAAAATAGCATGCAAATTATCTCTTCTGTTGATTATCTCCAAGCACACAGCTGTACAAAATCATCACCTTTACTTTACTTTCTTCTTAAAGGCAACAAATTGAAAGGTCCAGCATAAATAAGCAACTTTTCGGATTCCAATTAATAACAGATATCTTCCAAAGATGAATATTTCCTTTATTATATATGTTTTAAACACAGATACTATCTATCCTAAAGTATAAAGAAAATAGGGGTCGCCAGATTTCAGGTTCCAGGATGCAAACACCGCACGATTGGGATCACGCGATCCAGATTGAAAATCTAGGGGGTTGAGCGAATTAGGCAACTCTGGTAGGGACAACAGTCATTATCTGAAATTCACTAGCAAGAAGCCGAGAAGATGATTCTCTGCACATTAAAACATATTTTTTGATTGCCCTTATACGGGGCCTCTCAGTAAACGGGATTATGTTCACTCAAATCAGAGTATAGTTTGTTGATTAACCTTTTACTGCTTAAAGTCTAGTCTAGTTATGCAGCTAATGTAGCCTTAACTGTTTGTCTTGGGTACTGCTGAGGTGGTTCCTAGTTCTGATACATATGTGTGGGGTTCCACCCCTGGGTGTGATGATCTTACGGGCTGGGCATGTATTATTGAGGAAAAAAGAATTGACTTGAAAGGATTTTGGGGCTTGGGATCAAAGAATGGGTTCAGATGACTGCATCTGCTCCAAGATTAGCTGGCTAATGTAATGACTTGGCTGTAGAGATTGGTTTCTAAATGGTAGATCACTTATACTGCATAAACTGGCACAAACCATGACAATTTGGGTAGGAGGAGATTGTTAAACATAAGTGAATTTAAAATGTTTTATGTTTTGGATTGTTAGTTGGTTATGACTTACTTGTGGAAATACTTCTAAATAGTTTCTGATTCTTGTTACATTCATGATGACTTTTGGAATGCATTTGTATATCTTGATGCATTTTCGCCTTGCTGATCATGTATGAACCTTTTTGTTTTTGTAACTCAAATTTCATTTATAAAGAGCTAGTGAAATTTTTCTCTATTTTTTTTTTTTTTTGGCCTACATCATACTAGTGCTTTACTTGCTCTCTCTCTCTCTCTCTCTCTCTCTCTCTCTCTCTCTCTCTCTACTTTTTCTGTACCACCTCTGCACCATTTTCAGCTCTGGAAGTTAATTAATCGTGGTAAGGGTGCTGGTTCTCATATTATATCATGGAGGTTATTACATGAAGTTGGATTATCATATAAGGTATTCCATTTGTTGGCTTCGTGTTTGTCCTCCTGTGTGCGCAACTAATTCCTAAACATGATTTAATGGAAAAAAGACATTTCCTAAAACTTGTTAAAAAAAAAAAACAGGGCAGTTTGTTTGTCATGGAGTTGGAGGCATTTTTTTTTGTATTAATCATACTGTAGAGATGATAAGTGGTGGAATTACATGTTCTCATTTAAAAACCTGTTCCCTTTGTATTTTACAACATCTGAACATGTTGTTTTAGGAGATTCATGTTGATTTTACTTGTACAGCTGGTTACTAGTCTCTCTCTGTTTTTTTTTTTTCCTTTGGCAATCATTTGTATTAAAAATTTGATTTTTTTCATGGAGAGAACTGAGAAGATAGGTAGATTCATTGCAGACTGCGAGCAAACTTAGTACCAAATTAGCAAGCATGTCGCTTGTAGGGTCTGGTTTCCTTGAAATTGTGGCTGGGAACATTATTTTCCATTGTATTTTTGCAGGCTTACTGTTGTATGGGTTATGAAGAATGGTTTGCAAGATTTTTTAGGGATTGTGAGTGTATTAATCCTGTGTCTTTGCTTTAGTTGAGAATGCTCTTTGACAACTCTGGGGTTGTTGAATGTTACACATCAAAACTCTGAAGACTATTCTGGAGAATGTAGTACTTGTACTTGCCCTTCGTGTCTTTGCTTTTGTTGAGGATTCATCTGAAACCTTGAAGGTGTTTCCTAGTGCAATAAATAGAGTTGTCTTGATGCTGTGTGGTATCTTCATGATGGCTCTGGGATTGTGCAATGTTATTCCCACAAAACGCTGAAGAGTAGGCTGGGGAATATAGTAGCTTGTCCTTGCCATTGTCCCCTCCTAGGGTGGATTGTATATTTTGTTAAGGAGGAGCATGAACTACCTACTGCTAAACTGTTCTTGAGTTTTGAGATTCTGATAGTCTGAAGCTGGAATCTTGGTATTAAATTGTTTTGGAATCAATTATGGAATTATCTTGGCAAGCAAGTATAATCAACAACTAAACTGGGCATAAGAAACTTGGTAAATTTTAGGATAATCAGTGGGAAGAGCTTATTTTACCTAGTAATGCCTTTTGTATTTGCTATCTGTGTTTTTTTTCCCCTATTAAACTTGTGAAAGAAACGCTTATCTATGCTTTCTGAATTAGCAATAATGAACCTGTAAATTTAAAGGATGCTTGCTTACAGATTGGCTTTAGTTTTTGGGATTGTCTATTCTTGCATGAACTTGTAAATAAATGTTCTGTTAAACAGTTGGAAGTTCTGCCTTTTTGTCATGATTTTATGCAGAATTTTCCTCACCATTCTGCATTAGCCAGTTGATTAGAAGTCTTTATAAACTTGTGATTTGACATTTTCATAGTTTGTTGATTAAATACAGTGGCACCTGTGGCTAATTTCGCATTTCTTTTTTCTGTGACAGGTCTCAGAAATTTAGGGTAGATGGCTATCCCCAAGTTGGTGACCTGATGAATTCCGGATTGTGATTCTCATTAGGAATCTGCCTTTGGTGTACAGTGAAGTTCTCAAGGCGACTGATTGTCCTGCCTGTGCAAAGTGGAGTCTGTCTCTCTTGTGGGAACCGGTTCCTTGAATCTACATGTGGCTTATCTGTCTGATCTTGAATTTGTATAATACACCCTAGAATGTGGTGATGATTAGATACAGTGGTTTGTTTTCCCGTAGCATGTGTACATGGCTAACTACTTCTAGTCATTTTAGTTTTAGCTACTTCGCTGTTGATTTTGTGTTAGCAGATTCAGGATTCGTTGGGTTTATAGAAGAGATGGTCTGTAATTCAATCTCATGAAGTTATTATAATGGCTTCATAAGAAATAATTTTTCTCAAGGTTGTTGGTTGGTGGTCTTGCGCAGATCGTGTGGCTTCACCATTCTTTTAGGCTCTTTCCTCGAATGTTAACAGATGTCTTGAAGCTAAAGTGAAATTCTTATATCTCATGGGCTCCAATCTCCAAATTTTTACATAAACTGCAATTGTTTCCCACCTCTGGTACTGAATGTACGGTGGATATGCCCGTTACTTTCTGTGTTTTTGATGATGTGGTTAGAAGTATGGTTAAGATGTAAAAAACTTGAAATCATTCTGGCATTTACAACAGTGTCGGAATCAGTATCAAACGGTAATTCCAAAACCAAACGCAGTGCGACTACGCATAATGTAAACCTCAAAACTTTGTAGACCAGTCACCACAGACTACTTAAGCTATTACCTACGACACCCATCAAATGCAACAGTGCAAATTCTTCGACTCAAACTCATGCTCTCTCCAACTCTTACAAGATGCTCCTCCTCTCTCAAATCTTATTTCCTCAGACCCAAATCTTTCTCTTCTTCTTCTTTAGAATTTTCACCATGGTCTGGTCTGCAATCATGGAGAGACAGCCCATTAAACAAGAACCGGTTTTGGGGACCCAGTGGCCCACATACACCTCCCTCTTCAATTGACACTAATGATGCCTCATTGGACTCTGCTTCGTCTCTTGCGGAACTTGGTGCTCTTGTTCTTTCTACTAGTGACCCTCTCTCAAAATCTAAGCTTTCCCATTTGGCTTTCTCCAGGTGGCGCAATGAGAAGCTTCCTGTTGGTGTTTATGACCCTCCTTCGAGACCTGCTCGGCCTCCTAAACCTGAATTGGTTTGTTTTCTTATTGGTTTCTAGAAGTTTATTCTTTTACGGGTGTCTCTTAAAGCTTGAATAGTTTGTTAAAGTTTGGTTCTTTTTGTGTTTGCTGTTATGTTTTGTCTTGTTTGTCGCTGAGGTGATTTATGTTTTTTTTTTTTTTTTTTTTTTTTTTGTGAATTTAATTGGTAAATTATCAATGCCACTGCAATTGAACATCTTCTTTTAGTGTTTATTAGTTCTGTGTTAGTATGGTTTATTTATCAGTTGCTTGCAATTATTCCTTTGAACTATGATCTAGTATCAGGAAGCAGAGATTTCTTATGCTACTCTAGTCCAGGTATAACTTTGAAAATATGTAGTTCATGTCACTGGGACACTGGATTTGTTGCTTTTAATTTCATCAAGAGTTGTACATTTCAGGATTTCACTTTCTTTTATGCTGTTCGTTGAATTTGTCCCTTTTACATTTTTAAAATTGCTTTGTTTTTCGTCACAAAAGCAAAACGCCATTACCCATGTGTTAGTAAGATTTTGGGGAGGGACTTGATGATTGATTTGGATTTTACTCGTTGATCCAATTGATATCCCATTGTTGTTTATGGGAAACTTGATTGTTTGTTGTTGAATCGGTAGTTGAATACATGTGGATTTCTAGGTTTCCCCAAAGGAAATTCCAGCTCCTAAAGATTCAGGCTTACCTCTCAATGCTTACATGCTTCACAATCTTGCACATGTGGAGCTTAATGCAATCGATTTGGCGTGGGATACTGTTGCTCGATTTTCGCCTTATAGTGAGATTTTGGGAGAAGGATTCTTTTCTGACTTTGCACATGTTGCTGATGATGAGAGTCGCCATTTTGCTTGGTGCTCTCAAAGACTTGATGAGCTGGGTTTCAGGTGAGTAGATTGCTCTTAGTGTTACTTATTCTTGATTGTTGTATTCAGTAATATTAATCTCCTGGTCATTAGGTATGGAGATATGCCTGCTCATAATTTGCTTTGGAGGGAGTGTGAAAAATCGTCTGATGATGTTGCCGCGCGACTGGCAGTAATCCCACTAGTCCAGGTAATGTTTTGCTGTGTGTACATTTTCTAGACCTTACTGATCCAGCATGTGTTAAAATATGCTTGCAAAGAGATTTTTATGGCTCTGCATGTCATTTGTTCAATTTTCCTTTGTTTTGCTACTCAAGATTTGCTATCAAATAGCTCATAACATGTTCATGACAAGCAAATGTGCATACTAGCATTTGATTACTAAGATGATAACTTTATTAAATTCGAATATGACGCCATTGAGCTTACATCAATGGTATAGATTTCTGTAGTCACCTCACTATATATTGCAAATTGCCATTGATAGATTAAGATATTTGGAGCCAGATAGGTAGGATATAGAATTTTTATCTTCAGGCAGTGGTATGTGTCTTGTAAAAGCTCCTATCATTTCTGCCTGCCATTTCATTCCCTCAGCAAATTTATGAAGGATGCAAGTGCTGATTGAAAGATGATTCATGCTTTTGATACTGGTTGAATTAAGTCAACAAATTTCCATTTGGATTTGCTTTCTATGTATAATCTTGATGCCCATTGAATCACAAACCAATGGTAGATAACAGGCGGTTTCATTTATATTTAAAGACAAAATTTCCATTGTTCTGCTGCTACCATGGATATAGGAAGCTAGAGGACTTGATGCGGGGCCAAGGCTAGTGCAAAAGCTGGTTGGCTTTGGAGACAATAAGACATCTAAAATTGTGGCTAGAATTGCAGATGAGGAAGTTGCTCATGTAGCTGTTGGTGTCTACTGGTTTGTTTCCGTCTGTCAGAAAATGGGTTGTGTTCCTTGCTCCACTTTTAAAGGTTTCGTAGATGTTTTAATGTTTAATCTTATATAGTCACTTGTTCATACGTCTTTAGTTCCACATAGGCCACACAAGTATTTATTTGCAAATATTTTTGCCAAATTGAGCAGATTTGTTAAGGGAATACAACGTGGAGTTGAAAGGGCCCTTCAATTATTCAGCTAGAGATGAAGCTGGGATTCCCCGTGACTGGTGAGGAAAACTGTATCTCAGTTATTCCGCGTGTTGAATTCAAAAATTGTTGTTTTTTTCGATGCCTAATGCATGATCCATTTGCCTATTTTCCCTGACAATCTAACAGCACATCAATCTTATGTTAACTCTGTATCCGAAGATATAGCTGTTTAAACTTGTTTCTTGTATTATCTGCTGTATAGGTATGACAATTCATCCACAAATAAACAAGACAAGGTTACAAAACCGGTTACCAATGAGAAGCTTTCTGTGGTATGAGATTAGATTCTCTCGCTCCGTTCCTAGGAGAGTTGACATATACAACTACAATGTTAGGAGCGAAATATACTAAATGTTGGTTCACATTACAGGTTTACAAAAGACTTGCTTCTATCATTTCCATGGAGAGTGAAAATGCAAGTTTGAATAAGCCCCCTGGATGATACTTATGGCATATGCAGCTTAGATTGAAAATCCTAAAATTCTTGAGCAGATGGCTGGATGCAAATTTATCATTCTGTGGCCTATTTAATCATTCTGTGGGACAAATTGATTTGAAGTTTCGTATACAACTCAGCCAGTAGTGACACTGGTGTAAAAGATATCATGTTCCTCCCAATCGATAGTTCAGAGAGCATTTTCAAAGGATAGATGATTCCTGATAACTTCTATGCTGACCTTTTCTGGAAACTTATAGTTACAGAGGTTCTCTCTCTTCAGAACTTGATGGTATTAGGTCAGTCTTACTTGATCATCAGATATTGCCTCTATATCTTTATATCATGTAAATATATGTGAAATTTTTTTTTTTTTCCTTTTATGGACTTCTTAATTTGTATGGATTAGAATTTTAGTTGTTTCTTTTTCTAGTTGTTCTAAGCGAATAACTGTAACAATTGAAATTCTTCCTGGTAACATATTTGGATTGAGTGGCTGTAGAGCAGAATAAGCTATGAAATTAATCCTTTGGAACCTACTGGATCCATGGATGATTTTTATGTGACAATACAAATACTGGAAAACTTTCTGAAAGCATCACTCAGGTTTAATTAACTAGAACTAAATATCTGGTAAATGTTAATAATGTCTATATTATTTACAAAGAGGATGACATTAAAAAAAAAAAAAAACTAAAACAACCATTAATCAAACTGTGAATTCTTATGGTTTCTTTAATACCGATGATTAGGGTTGAGCAACAATCAATTTAAATAACAAATTTTTAAGAATTTGGAAGAAAGGGTTATTGGAAAAATTTCTTAGTAATTCGGGGAATAATTGTAATTTTCTTAACCTAATTTTAGCTAGTGAGAATTTTCTTCAGGCCTAATTTTTGCTAATTAATTTTAATTCTTTTAGTATTTTACGTTAAAAAGTATTAAAGGGTAAAAAATTTGGATAAATTACCTAAATTTTTTTGATCATGTGAAGCAAATCCTATAAAAGTAAAAGATTTCGAATCTAGTAAATAAATAAAAAACAATTCGAATAATCATACGAAATGCCAATTTTTTTTATCCGAATGATCGGATGCTCACTCCTAAAAACAATAATAGTTTATTTTTTATTAAAACTAATAGTTTAGTTTGTCCTTACATAATAGATAGAGTTAGTGTTTTAACATATTTTTATATCATAAAATGAGATAATTATATATTTTTGTATTTTAAGTGAGTTTTTAATTTATCATTCTAATGAATTTTTTTCAATCAAACCACCGATAAAGATTACATAATTTGCACGTAATTGATATATATTTTTTGGAAAATGTTCTTCAATTTAACTTGTGCAAGTCATTTTTTTTCTAGGGATGTTTTTGAAAAAAAATTAATTATGAGCAAGTCACTTGATTTTTTTAAAAAAATAATCAAATTAATAAATTAAAAACTCACTTAAAATACAAAATACAAAAAGATAATTGATTACTTTTAAAATATAATAAGAGATTGAACACTAATCTCTTTATATAAGTATTAAAACATTTTTCTCTTTATTATTAGAATATGGTAAGTAATTCCAACAAATTATTGGAAATGCCAATTTTTTTTTATGCGAATTACCAGATGCTCACCCTTAAAGACGATAACAGCTTACTTTTCATTAGCTTGGATATGCATATTTGGTTTCGACCAAGGAAAGCACATCTGAGGACACTTTGGTCATTATCCATCAAAACACACCCCCCCAAAAAAAAAAAAATGAAAGAGGAAAATGGCACACACTTTCATCATATAAAGACAGAAAGTAAACATCAATCATGTTTGATGCATACTATAAATGAGTAAATGGTGTTATTTGTCGCAAGAAATTATAGGATAAGGTTCGTAAGGTCTACACATTTTTTCACGTTTGGAGTTTGGTGATTGGTTGCTTTAAAGATGCTACCAAACGTGTCTGTCTGTGCTCATAAGCAACGTGGCCATCGTCATCGAATCAAAGAGAAAGTAATCAACAATTTTTAAAGAATAGGAATCTTACTTTTAAGAGGAAATCAATGTTAACTCAACATAATCTCCGCTTTTCGCCCTGTCACTTTCACTTCCCGCATCGGCTTAAAGCAATCAAATAGTACAGAGAAGAAGATTCAATAAACAGAGGAAGTTCTTTCTCGCTTTCTTTCAAAGTAAGAGAAGAGAATTAGCAAAGAAAAGAAAGAAAACTCTAGAGAATATGTGCTGTGGAGACGGTGATTGTAGGCCTCTTGCCTTTCTTTTAGGCCTTCCTTTTGCTTTTCTCTCTCTCCTTGTCTCCATTGTTGGCGTTGTCATTTGGATCGTCGGGTTTGTTCACTTTCTTTCACTCTCCTTTTATACTTCTCGTTGTATCTTAGTTTCTTGCTGTTATAGATTTCTTGATTTGTGACACTTTTTGCCATTGTATCTTTTATGCTTCAGTCTTAATTGCCTTTCAGTTTCTGGGCTATTTTAGGTTTTTTGAGTCTGTGCTACTCTTCTCTTATTTTTTGACAAATCTGGACAGTTCTTTTCTTCTATTTTAGTTTCTGGGCATCATAGTTTTGTAATACATACCTTAGAATTGGATTTCAATTTATGGGTATTTGAGATTCCTTGATTCTATTTCAGTCTTGGCAGTTTTGACACTATGTGATCTGGGTTTGGTCTAGATTTTGATTTAATAAAATATTGTGCATTTGTACTTGAGAATTTAGACCCTTTACTGATTTTCCAATTTTGGGGGTGTGCAGGTTACTATTATCCTGTGTGTGTCCTTGTTGTTTGTGCGTGACAGTGGTAGTGGAACTGGCTCTGGAGTTGATCAAGGCCCCTATTCATGTCATGGAGTGGTTCACTGATCAGATACCTTGTTGATTTTATTATTCTACTGAACATATCTTAGTCATGTAGTAGTTTTCTGGGTTTTATTCTCAGTATTCAGTAGTGGTTTCTGTATGTAGATTTGGATTCTTCCTCTTCCTCTCTCCCTTTTATGTGTTTTCTTGTTTGTTATTGAGTGGAGAGTGAGGAAATTTATGGCATGATTCACGAGAAGATACATCTACAGATATGAATGTTGATTTTCCTGAGATTTCTGATTACTTGTGAATCTGGGTTCCAAGAATGTGTTTGATGTTACCTTTTCGTCCTTAGAACTGGTGCTCATTATCATCTGTGGATAACAATTATTGTTGTAGATATGGAGACTGAAAGATAAGGGTTTCAAGCAGAGTAGTTTTATTACCAGAACTTCAACAATAGGCAAAATCAAACTCAAAATTTATTCTTGGTTCTTAAAGAGTATCACTGCATTTTAGTATTGAAAACTAGATCTGACAAAGCAATAAAATTGTTGACGGAGCTCCCATTCGGTCCAATGGCTTCCTTTGCGAGTTGCTTAAATGCTTTTATGTTCTCCCTCATTTTCTTCCCTCCGTCTAGCGAAAGAACTTTATACAAGCTATTTAACAGTCCATGCTTTGTAAGGACTCCATCCTCAACCTGGAGACCAATCTCCCACACATCCTCTACCATTCTTCCATTGATATTTTGGTCCCCAAAAAATGGCCTACAAATCATAGGCACCCCTCCTGCTATACTCTCAAGCAACGAGTTCCATCCACAATGAGTTACAAACACCCCAACTGCTCTGTGTGCCAAAATTTCCGATTGAGGAGTCCATGGCACGACAAGTCCCTGTGATGTGGTTCTGTCCAAGAATCCGTCCGGCAGATGTACCTTCGAGTTGTCCTTAAGTGACCATATAAATGGCACCTCGCTTGTTTCCAAGGCCTCAGCCAATGCTACAAGTTCATGTGGTGGTGGTGTTGTGACGGAGCCAAAGCTAACGTATGCTACGGAAGCAAGCTTTTGGCTGTCAAGCCATGTTCTGCAACCGTATGCGTCTGCCACCGGTGGTGGTGGTGAAATCATATTGAAGGGACCGATGCTGAGAAATTTTTTGAACTTAGACTTCAAGTCCTCTGTTATGCTAGGTTCTAACTCTTCAAACGAGTTGATGAACACTGCGTCTGCTTGTGGTAACGCTCTTCCCATTTTATGTAGCATGTTTGAAAAGAACGACTCTAAGTTTCCAAAGAGCACTCCTTCTGGCAAATCACGGATTCGAATTTTGGACATTCCTGGAATCAAACTTAGCAGTTCGTCTTCAAGTCCTGTTACACCTGTATTTTCAAAGTAAATTAATGGCGACGAGACAAGAACAGCGCCATGTTAGAAAGAGGGAATAACAGCGTGCTATGGTGTAAGACACTCGCATTTAATTTACCCCAGGAAAATCACATCCGTTCAAATGTAATATCATCTAAGCCGTCCATTGCAAATTATTATTAATTTACCCTTTTTTCATACTAATGGTTGTCGGGAAAAAAAATCCAAAATGAAATAAATTAACTACATAAAGCAAATAGGGGGGTGGGGTTGGGTTGGGTTGGGTGGGTGGTAAAGAAGAAGAGATTTCATCGGTGGTTTACTGCCGGTCACGGTGGAGCCAAGAAAAAGAGGGAGAGATTTCGTTGTTGGTTTCTTTCCAGTGACAGGAGACAAAAAAAGGGTGATTTTATCGCCAGTCTTTTCATGTCTCCGGAGATCGACGTTTGACAAGATTTTGATTGATCTTCAAATTTGAGATGATTGTATCAAATTTGTATAAAGTTTGACAAAAAAAGGGTTTGTTGCTATTTAACGGGTCAAGATGGGTAGTTTTCTCCAGCTGTAAGTTTGAAACTGGCTGGAGGTTCACAATTAAGTTTAATCCCTGTAATGTTTTTAGCTTACAATTGTGCTCCTTAATTTTATATATTTTCAAAGTATCAGTGGGCCTCACATCTTTAGCAATTAATGCTCGCACTTCCGCTTTTCTTTAATTCCAAAATAGTCCTCATCTTTGAAAAAATTCATACAAATGACCTAATAAGTTTCAGTTTGGTTATGAAATGGTGACGAGAACTTTCCTTTTTTTCTTGAGCCCCTAAACGTATATTTAATTTCTCTCTCTCTTTCTCTCTCAAATTTATCCATACATTTTTATTAATACAATTTTCATTTTCAATGCTTGGCCTACAACTACAACTGTTTAACTTGTAAAATGTTGAAATGTTAGAATCTAAAATACTTAGATAAATGCTTACAATTGGAGAAGTTTGTTTAATGAATGTAATTGGATTAACATCATTAATAAATTATTAATAGATGACAAATAAGGTGGAGATATAATAATGAGCATTTTTTTAATGTTATTTTTAAATTAACCAAAATAGAACATGCATCACAAAAAACGTTATTCAATTTAGTTTATTGATGACTTTTTTTTTGTTTGTGTTTTATGTCAAAACAACGATACAAGATGGAAAATAATAGAATGTTCATGATAAGTTTTAAAGTTAAACAATTTAAATAAAACTGTAGTTAATTAATTAACTTTCGTAATACTTTGTAAAGTATCATGCAGTATCAATAGTATGATGAAATTTTTCAAAGAAAATTGAGGTGAGATTTTGTAATATGAACAATTTTAATAATTGTGTTTTTGGAAGGTGATTACAAAATAGTGTTAAGAAAGCAATAATTGTTTGGTAATCCATTCATGAAAAGAGGATTGAATATTATGATAATATAAACATATAATCAAATGAAGAACTTGAGAATTAACAAAAAAAGTTGAACAGTTAACTGCATCACATAATTATAATTAATATGAAGTATATTTAATTGATAGTTTAAGGGCTCAAGCAAAGAAAAATAAAGTTTCTATGACCATTTTGTAATCAAACCGAAACTTCTTAGGTCATTTGAATGGAATTTCAAAAACAAATGAGGACTATTTTGGACTAGGAAGAAAACGCTAGATGCCCGAGAGTTAAAATGGTGGGGCCAACACACGGTGAGGACGATACATCTAAAGACTAAAATTAAGGATCAATCTAAATAATAGTTGAAGTTCAGGACCTAATTGTAATATTTATAAAAAATAGGGACCAAACCAGTATTTTAATCTATAATCGTCTTCAACCTCTAGCAGGTATTACCCGAATAAAAAATGGGTCATCTTAACCCAGATCCACAATAGAACTGAATCTTTCCTTCAATTCTGATGCAATTAACCCAAATTAAAACGAAAGAAATATTGGGATTAAAGGGGGTTTCGAGCTTGTTGACAACAAATATGTTGTTGACGATGGTGATGTATTCTTGACACCTAGGGCACATAAACGCGACTCTGAAGATGAAGAAAACAAATATGATGATGGGGAACTTCACGAGGTTGGAGAATGTTCTGATTCTGCAACTGATCGTCCAAACTTTGTTTTGCAGCCGCCACCACCACAGGTGGCGTTTTCCGGCTAGTAGGAGAAATCCGGCAAACGCTCCTCTCTCTTTTATGCATCAAACTAAACTACAGGGGACTGTTAGCCACTGTAGCTAACATCGCGCTGTCTTTTCAAACATTTTTCTTAAATTAATTTAATTGTAAGTACGTACCTCCATCTCCAAAAGTCTCTCTGAGGAGATCAGTGTAAACATGAGCAGAAAGTGAGGAAGGTCCAGCAGTCCAAAAGGGCAGCCACGCCACCCCTATCTCCTCCGCCATCTCACCAGCGAACCAAAAGAAGGCATCACTCACCAAACAACTCACCTTTCTCCCTGTCTCTGACACAGCTACCTCCATGGCCTTCTTGAAGCTACCAGGAGCTGACTTCATGAACAATTCAATGTGCTCTTGGGGCTTCCCGGAGAACACATAGCCCTCAGGGACACCATCCCACACGTTGTATGCTTTGATGTTAATGTTTTGCTTGTAAATGGAGAAGATGGAGTTGTTGGATTGTTCGGTGCTGAAGAAGGAGAAGTGTTTGTTTGGGGAAGAAGTGGCTAGGCGGTGGATGATGGCTAGTAATGGAGCTGCATGGGTGGCGAAAGGGAAGGCAAGGACTGCAACATGATCAGGGTCTGCGGCGGCGGCGGCGGCAGCGTCGACATCGGTTTGAGGCATTGTTAACAGTAATTGATGCATGAGGAACCATGCACAAAGCATGCATATATATATATATATATACACGAAGCACCGACGGCGTTGGCTAGACAGTCATCTACCACCAGGCAGGTGGTTGGTTTATCATTGCTGACTGGTGGTTGGTTGGTTTATGAATTGGTTAAAAATGGCAGCTGATGCCAATGCATGTGTTAACCCCCGAGAAAGGCCCGCTTATGTTAGCATATATTAACCTTTTAGCTGTATCAAATCTGATGAATTAAACCATGTGTAAGTAATTTAACGAATTCAACCCTATACTTATATGTTTAAACAATTCGATCTAACTATTCTTAATTTTTAATAAATATTTGAAAACTTGCTGATATAAAAAATATTAGCTATATGACACATAATTTTAACTAAAATATTCAATCCTGAAAAAAAAATTATATATTTTTAAATAAAATAACTAAACTATCTCACAACTTCAATTCTTAATTTGTTCTTTTCTTTCCACTTTTCTAAAATTTATAAAGTAAAATTTGGAGTTAAGAGAAAGTCATGAACGGATCTCTCATCAATTTATTTATTTTAGAAAAATTGAAAAAGATTATTTTTAAATAAAGCATGGCATTCTACTAAAAAACGTGGAGTAAATTATAAATTAGTCCCTCTCATTTTGAGAAAAGAGATAATTAGTCCTCCTAGTTTCAAAAACAAATTATTTTTTTTGTTATTTTTTAATTTATTTTCATTTTTTTAAGAAGTAGAAAAAAATAAAAAATAAGTAAAAATGTAGATAGATTTATGAGAAAAAAAGATATTTTAAAAAATAAAAAAATTAAATTAATCATAATCAACACTAATTAAAAAGATTAGATATTTAATTTTTGAAACCAACGGAACTAATTACTTTGTTTCTCGATACAAAAGGGATTGATTTATAATTTACTCTCAAATTGGGGGTATTTTCCGCTTCATCAAGTTTTTAGATATTTACTAAGAGTTATCATATTTGCCAAATTACACAAACACACGGTCTAAAAATAAGATTTTCCTTTCTTTTTTTTCTTCAAAAAGTAATTAAGTCATTAATAGCTGAAAAATAAGTATACCAAACATTTCCAGTATTAAAATAAGATTTTCCCTTTTTTTTTTCCAAAAAGTAATTAAGTCATTAATAGCTGAAAAATAAGTATACCAAACATTTCCAGTATTCAACTAATGAGAGTTCAGTTGTTAAAAAAAAAAACAATCTACGAATCATATTTTATATACTCAATTTGATAGTGACAGATTTAGGAATGACAAAATATTTCCGGACCACTTACTTTTAAAGGATTTCCGAAATAATCTTTCCCATTAGCCTTTTACAAGTCAATGTCTTGTTATACATATGAATCAATCAAAATAAGAATTTGCAGAGCACAGAATTCAAGCCTCTTTTATCTTCATAAAAGTTTGAACTTCATTTGTAGTTCCCAGTCGGCTTTTGTCACATGGCCAACCACTTCAAAAATTCTGGTCTATCTTATTTGCTTCAGCCTTCCCTTACTGAGGAAGCAGTTAAGCCAAGCTCATTAATGAAAGAAAGTTCATAAAACCATACCAAAAATGGCTAGAGCCAGGCAATTTTGGTTCATCTGCCACAATGAACTTGCATTCCCCAAGTAATCACCATCCGAAATCTGCTGCTTAAAGTCCATTTCCTCTCTGCTTATGTCATGTATTCAAAACTGAATGTTATGAAATTGCAAATACAAGCTATCAAGTGTATGCAATCACCTGAATTATGCAACTTCAAAAGGTATATTACTGAAACAAGACGGACTATAAAAACTAAAAAGCAATCATACAACAGTACTCCCAAAATCATAAAAACAACCACATGATCAAGAAGCATCTTTTAGTACAACTCCATTTCAGCAGCTAAAACACACTAGACCACCAAAATCTTTACAAAACTGGATTCAACCTTGCTGCTTGCTCTCTTAATGTTGTTCTTGTTTTCCATGTTCAAAGTGGCTTGCCTCATATCCGCCTGCATTCTTCCCTGCTCCAGGTAGGTGTTGCCCAATAGCAAGATCTTTGGTTGCTTGAGCAATCTCCACTATAGTTTCGCCAATGGCGCCCAGTATACTGCTTTCCTCTTGTCGCTGTTGCTGCTGCTGCCAATTCTGTTGTTGTCGTTCATCACCGTCTTCTGGGGACGCTTTCTCGCTGATTTTTTTAGCGATGCTCGTTTCTTCTGGTCCTTGATCTCCTGTTGCATGAACTTGTGATTCTTCTTTGTATTCTCCTCCCTGGAAACTCCTCTAATCATCCTCAATCAGGTAATATGTATTCAATATTTCTATTTCAAGTATAAATGTAATAAGATAGCCAGTCCACATTTTTACATGGTCAATTAGAAAAACAAGGAGAGTTTAGTGTATCATTTCTTGCCTATATTGGCATGGCTTGCATTCAACTCAGTATAGCCTATGATGCAGAAAATTCCTTGATATTATTCAAACAAAAGTTGCATTACAAGAAACTGCAGTTAGAAAAGCATTCATAAACTTAACAATGTGAACGCACTAGGTGTTAAAAGAACTACTAGACATACACTATTCGGTAAATTGTACCTGTCGTTCAGCTGTTTTTCGGGCCTCAAGTTCTCTCTCAGCCTCCTCTTTCTTCCTAGCTGTGTACTCCATCATACTCTCACCAGTTTCCGCCGCAGTCTGTTTAGCAGCACCCAACGGCTTGCCTGCAAGCTCTGTAGTCTTCTGGCCAGCATACTCTACTGCCCTCGCGGCTGCTTTAGTACCCTCCACTGCTTTCTCAGTTGTGAAATGAGCAGCAGTCCATCCAGCGGCGGCAGCCTTGTCTTTCACATCCACAGCCACTTTCTCTACATAATGAGCAGCCCCTTTGCCACTTTCCACAGTCACATCTTTAGCTGCTACGGCCTTCTCCACTGTATAATCCTTGGCCCCTTTGCCTTTCTCTACAACATACTCTGAAGTTTTCTTAGCCCCTTCAACTAGGGTGTCCTTTGCCTGTGCTCCCTTCTCTGCAATATAATGGGTAGTTTTTTGAGTCCCCTCAAAGACAGTGTCCTTTGCTTGCGCTCCCTTCTCTGCTATGAACTGAGTAGTTTTTCGACCCCCTTCAACTGCAGTGTCCTTTGCTTGTGTTCCCTTCTCTGCAACATACTGTGTGGATTTTTGAGCCCCTCCAAGAACAGTATCTTTTGCTTGCGCACCCTTCTGTGCAGAAATGTCTCTGGCTTGTGTGGCCTTCTCTGCAGCAGTGTCTTTGGCTTGTGTGGCCTTCTCTGAGATAATGTCTTTTGCCTGTCCAGCCTTCTCTGCAGCAGTTTCTTTTGCTTGTGCAGCCTTCTCTGCAGCAGTGTCTTTGGCTTGCGTAGTCTTCTCTGCAACAGTGTCTTTTGCTTGAGGAACCTTCTCTTTCACAGTCTCAGTTGCCGAACCCACAACTTGGCCTGCCTTCTCTTTCGCTCTCACATGTCTTTCTTCAGCTGCCTTTAAAGCCTGCATTGAATTCTGTTGTGCTGTTCCTCTTAACTTTGAAATTTCATCCAGAGAAAGCTGTTGCTCTTTGTTTTGATCACCACCCTTTTCTTTTCCGCCACCTCTCTCTTCTTCACCTTTCACTTCAAATTTGCCAGCAGAATAACCCTCTCTTGCCTTCCTCTCTTGTTCTTCTTCTCTTCTTTCCCTTTCTTTATCAATAGAAACATCTGCCCCAGTTCTCACTTTATCAGCAAGAGATTGGGCTCCCATTTCATTGCCACCTTCTGTACCCACGTTTCGTTCGGCACCAACAAAGACAACTGTATCTGCTGGTTTCTCTGTCAAAGACTCAAAATGGCTTGCCATTTTTGGGACTCTTTCTCTCTCCACAGAAATTTCTTTCTCACTGGTTTTGTTATGATCTCTCCTTGCCTGCTCTGATGCCATTGTTGCTAAATATGTTTCAAGAAGTAACTAGTTACTAGTTAACTAGATCTATCTCTTATTTTTCTTTTCTTTGTGGGTTTCGTATCAACACTGTATGATTCTTTGATTTGTGAAGAGGAGAGGAGAAGATTGGCGTTAAAAAAGAAGAGGCAATGGCCTATGGCGGCGGGGGGACATGGAGTTGGTGTGTGCATGGAGTGGACAAGTGTTGGTGCATGAGTCAACGTGTTGGGTTTGTACGAAGAAGAAGGTGACTCAGCTAGAGAAAAGGTCAGGGCATTGGCAAACGTAAGAGGATATGGCTTAGGTTAGGCATTTCAGGACCTGACACATGGATTCATTTCTCTTCGCCATGTGTGTAAGCAGAGCCTATCAAGACCCACTTTCTTTTGCAAGCTTTACCTCGGTTTCTGCTCGAGGTTGGGCTTTCTATCGTTATTAGTATTTGATATATAATAAGCATAATGTATTTATTAGTTTATAATTACTTATAAATAGATTTTTTTTTACAATGTAAATTGTCTTTTTTTTCTTTTTGAAGGTAACATGAATTTTTTTAAAAAAAAATATGCTTAATTATTTGTATGTATTATAATTATAAAATAATTAGTTAAATTACAAGAAGATAAAATATTTTTTACGATTCATTTGATGGATCTATTAAGCAGTTATAATCGTTTATCTGTTATGAAACGAATAATATTTATTTTTAAAAAAAGAAAAAAATAGATTTTTAATTGTAATTATATAATATCAATAATTAATATAATTATAAATTAATTAATTAAATTACTTAATGATAAGATAAGTTATTACGATAACCTAAAAAAAATATTTATAATATCTTAAAATAACCATAGCAAACTCCTTTTTCTCTCATCAAATCTGCCTCTCTTTTTTTCAATTAACCCGGCGTATTAAAAAATTAAGCTGTTGGTCAAGAATTATTTTAATATCTGTTATGAAACAAATAATATTTATTTTTCTTTTAAAGAAATAATATTTTTAATTGTAATTATATAATATCAATAACTAATGTCATTATAAATTAATTAATTAAATTACTTAATGATAAGATAAGTTATTACAATATAAAAAATATTAATTGTTTGTAACCTGAAAAAACCATATTTATAATATCTTAAAACAACCATAGCAAACCCTTTCTCTCTCATCAAATCTGCCTCTCTTTTTTTTTTTTTTTTTCCAATTAACTCGGTGTATTAAAAGATTAAGTTGCTGTTCAAGAATTGTTTTGATCCAATCCGTATGATTTTTTAAAAAAATGCAAATCATTAATGGTGTATCATACTATATACGAGATTTTCACCTCATATAATTTCTTGTTCAGTTTTTTCAAATATATTAAACCTTTTTCATTGATATTAATGTTGAATATTAAAAGTTAGAATGTTTAGTTTGTCATGGTATTTAGTTTTGTCCTAGTCTTTAAGAGTTTGTTATATGATATATTGATATACCAAGATTTTAGGAACCTTTTCTATTCATTCAAGTTAGTTGCTATTATTTTGCATTTTATTGTTAGTATACTGCCTATTTAAAGGCTACTATTTAATAAATGACTAAAGTAGCAAAGTTTATTTAGCTCTCCTCTGTGTTCTCGGTAGTCTCTACTTTCTAATAGTGGTATCAAAGTTAGGTACACAAGTATGAGAGTGAGTGAAATATGAGTGTAGAGAGAATTCAAAGAGAGTATGTGAGATAGAAAGGAGTATAGTAACGAGTCTTGTTTCCTTTTTCTTGTAGTAGTGGTAAACATAGCATCGACTTTGTTTTTCTTATAGCGAGTAGTAACAACAAACATTAATGGCCTCGAAAGTTTTGTACAACCTACAATTCCTCACTTTGATGGTCACTATGACCATTGGAGCATGTTGATGAAGAATTTTTGAAGATCTAAAGAATATTAGCAAGTAGTTTCGATGGAATTACGGAACCAAGAGATTGAACAATAATGATCGATGTGTAGAAAACGAAATAGAAGGGCAAAAGTTGAAAGATCTTAAAGCAAAGAATTACCTCTTCCAAGCTATTAATCATTCAATCTTAGAAACCATTCTTTCCAAAGACATTGCCAAGCATATTTAGGATTCAATGAAATGGAAGAATCAAGAACCAAGGATCAACAAGAGCAAAGTGGTTATAGCTACAAGAATTCCGTTTAGAGTTTGAAATGCTTCAAATGAAATCAAGAGTCGTTTATCGATTATTTTTCATGGGCAATGGAAATTCTCAACAAGATGTTAATTCGTGTGATAATGCGAGAGGATGTTACCATTGTTGAGAAGATCCTTCGATCTATGAAACCAAAATTTAATTTTATTGTTTGTTCTATAGAAGAATCTAAAGATATTAATGCACTTTCGGTTGATGAATTACAAAGCTCATTGTTAGTGCATGGAAATAAAATTAATCAATAAGAAAAAGAGAAGCAAGCATTGAATGCCTCAACTGGAAATCACTTGATAACAAGCAATGGTGATAAAGGACGTGGCGAGAGGTAGAGACGAGCAAAGGCAAAGGAAATAACGATCATGGAAACCAACAACAGAACTAGCAACAAGACAACCAATTTCAAGGAAGAGGGAGAGGATAAAGGGGGTACCACCCAACTACTTACGGACCACTCGTTAGCAGACAAGTCCCATATTGAATGTTACAAATGTCATAGGTATGGCCATTATCAATTAAATTGCCAAACCTATTTGTCCAAAGAAAAAGGTGCAAAATCTAATTTTGTAGAACGAGAAGAAGAGAAATAAGAAGTGTCCTTATTGATGGCTTGTCATCCAAAAAAGTTAACCCATAAAACTTTATGGTATTTAGACACAAACTATAACAATCATATGTATGGAGATAAGTCCGCATTCTCTAACTTGGATGACTCCTATCATGATAATGTGAAGTTTAGTGGCAATTCTAAAATCTCTATTATGGGAAAGGGAGAGGTAACAATTCAAACCATGGAAAATGCTATTTAGACTATCTCTAATGTTTAGTTTATTTCAGATTTGAAAACAAACTTGCTCGGTGTTGGCCGACTTCAAGAAAATGGATATGAAATCTTTATTAAAGATGGTGTATGCAGAATTCAAGATGAGAAATTGGGTTAATTGTTCAAGTTAATATGACGAGTAAATCACATGTTTCCACTTCACCTCCATAACACTAATCATTCATGTTTCTCAATAAAATTGAAGGATGAAACATGATTATGGCACTTTTGATATGGGCATCTAAATTTTTGGTAGATTAAAAATAATACAAAAGAAAAACATGGTGATAGGTCTTCATCACATTATAGCTTCGGTTAAGTTCGTGAAGAATGTGTTGTTAGCAAACAACACCATAACCCATTTCCACAAGGCAAATCATGGAGAGTAACAAAAGCATTCGAGATGGTTCATTATGATCTTTGTGGCCCAATAACGAGCATGTTCCAATAAAGGTAAAAGATACTTAATCACTTTCATTGATGATTTCAGTCAAAAAACTTAAGTTTATTTCCTACAGGAGAATTTTGAAGCAATTGTAGCCTTTAAAAATTTTAAAGTGCTTGGTGAAAAAGAAGTTGATAACTCAATAAAAACACTTCATACCGATCGGAGAGCGAGTACAATTCACAAGAATTTATAATTTTTTATGAAAGCCATGGAATCACGAGACAACTCATAGCAGCTTACACACTCTAGCCAATGGTGTTTGCAAGAGGAAGAATTGCACAATCATAAATATAGTGAGAAGCATTTTGTCAAGGAGTGGATTTTCAAAAAAAATTTGGCTCGAAGCGATAAATTAGAGCATTCACATTTTGAACACAAGTCCCACACTTGTTATTCAAAATATGACACTAGAGGAAGTTTGGAACGGACGAAGCCTAAGTGTAGATCATTTTACATTTTTCGAATGTATTGCATATGCCCATATTACGGATAAGAAAAGGAGAAAGCTAGAAGATAAAAGAGAAAAATGCATTTTTCTAGGTGTTAGCGATCAATCAAAAGCTTATAAGCTATACAATCCTAGCACGAAAGAGATTATCATCGATCATGATGTTGTCTTTGATGAAGATGGAACCTAGTCATGGAACAAAAATGGAGTTAAAGAGCAAATGCCAGCAGATTTTGATGGTGATAAAAATAGATAATAGCCCATGGTGAATGTGTAAGAACCAAAAGTCACATAAAATATTCAACCACAAGCTTAAAGCCCAATTGTATTAGAAGTAGATAAAGAATAAAGACCTCCATGTGCTAAAAGGAGGGCTACATGGATGGTTGATTATGAGGTAATTGGAATTAACCAATCTAAAAGAATAAAGAATAGATAAGTAGCCCATGGTGAATGTGTAAGAACCAAAAGTCACATAAAATATTCAACCACAAGCTTAAAGCCCAATTGTATTAGAAGTAGATAAAGAATAAAGACCTTCATGTGTTAAAATGAGGCCTACATGGATGGTTGATTATGAGGTAATTGGAATTAACCAATCTAAAACACATTTTGCTTTATTTTCATATTGTGATCCTATAGTCTTTAAAGAGGTTTTGAAAGAATAAAAATGGTGTAAGGCAATGGATGAAGAAATTGCTTCAATTGAAAGGAATAGTTATCGAAATAGGAACTATTCTATTTAGAATATTTTGGATGCATTCTAGCTATAAATATCGGAATCTAAGGTTCCAATCAAGGAGTGTAGGAAGATTTATAGCTATAATTTCTTAGCTTAAATGCTATTTATAGCTTTATATATGTAAGTTGTAATACCTATAGTAGTATGATAATACAACTAATATTTCCTAATTTGTATCGGCTTATATGGTATTAAAGCGGACCTAGTTTAGAAACCCTAGTCGTTAACCATATTGATTTTTTCTTCCTCATCACCATGTCTAAAATTACATAAAATTCTATACCCACTCTTGTTCATCCATTTACTTCTTCCAAAACTAAGGATTTTGTCAATAAGATAAAAAATCCTTATGACTTATCTTTAAATTCTTATTCAATTTAGATTACCATTATCAAACTGAATGGAGATAATTTTTTACACTAGTCTCAATTTATACGCATAGACATTCGAGGTAAGGGAAAGATTGGTTATTTAACTAGTGAAAAGGAGCCAAAATTGGATGATATGACCTATTTAGTTTGTAAATGCAGAGAACTTCATGGTTATAACATGGTTAGTGAATTTTGTGAAGGAGGATATCGGTTCTAATTACATATGTTATCACACGATAAAGGAACTTTAGGATAATGTTAATTTAATGTATTCGACTTGGGAAATCGATCCTAAGTATATGAAATAATAATGAAACTTAGAGAAGTTCACCAAGGTGAAGATAATAGTATAAAATATTTTAATTCTTTAAAACATCTATGGCTAGAACTAGACTTATTCAATTCTTACGAATGGAAATCTTTTGAGGATTGTAACCATTACAAGAAGAAAGTAGAGGATTATCGGATTTTCAAATTCCTCATGGGACTTACTCGTTGAGTTTGATAAGGTTAGAGGATGAATAATTGGGAGACAACTTCTTTCATTTATTGGTGAAGTTTTTACCGAGGTTCGTCGAGAAGAGAGTTATCGATTGGTGATGCTAAGAAAAAAGCTTTGAGTAGCACAACAAAAAACTCTACATTGGCGACCATAGACACCCATACGGGTAGAATGATAATTAAAAAATCCGATGACAAAAACCATGCTTGTGTGATTATTACAACAACCCAAGACGTACTAGGGAAACTTATTGAAAGCTTCATGCGAAACCAAAAAATTAGAAGGGTAAACATGAAAGAAAATTCAAATAAAACCCTACTACCAATGAAATTAAGGGAATTCCTTTAAATCCACAATAAGTGAATAATATCTCAAAACTATTCAAATCAAATTCTAAATTATCTAGAACTCCTAATGCTTCTTTGGCATAAATAGGTAATGATTTAAATACCTTAGTGTGTTACTTTTTATCACAATCCGCTCCATGGATTGTTGATTCTTGAGCAACTAACCATATGATAAGTTTTTAAAATTTATTTCATACTTATGTTCGTTGTTCGAGTCATGAATAAATTTATATAATTGATAGGTCTTACTCATCTATTGTTGACAAAGATTTGATTATTTTGTCGGATACTTTATCTCTTAAATTTATTCCGCATGTACCAAAACTTACATACAATCTTCTGTCTATCAACAAATTATCAAAAGATTTTAATTGTACTTTTTGTTATTCATATTATGTGTTTCGGGATCGAATTCAAGGAAGAAAATTAATAGTACTAGAATGATCAATGGTCTTTACTATTTTAAAGATTAAGTCTCCAAGAATAAAAGACCTCGAGGACTAAGTAGTATCGGTTCTATCTTGTTAAAGATAGAATAATGCTATGGCACTATAGACTAGGACATCCTAGTTTTCTCTATCTCAAAAACTTTTTTCCTAGCCTATTTAAAAGCATGGATTGTTCTCTTTTTCATTGTGAACATTTCATTTTATCAAAAAGTTATAAAAATATTTATCCTTCAAAACCTTATCAACCTTTATGATCATTTTATTTAATTCATAATGACATTTGGGATTCTTTATGGATTCTAACTTATTTAGGCCAAAAATGGTTTGTAACCTTCATTGATGATCATACTTGGTTGTGTTAGGTATATTTATCGGCTAATAAATATGAAGTTAAGATAGTGTTCTAAAATTTTTATAACATGATTAAAACTTAATTTCAAACTAAAATTGATATTTTTCATATTAATGATGGTACCGAGTACTTCAATGAAATTCTTGAAATTTTTTTAGAGACAACGACATTCATCATTAATTAACTTATGTTGATACACTTCAGCAAAATGGTATAGTTGAGCAAAAAAATTGACACTTATTAGAAGTGGCCTAATCTCTTATGTTTTCTTTACATGTCCCTAAGTATCTCTAAGGAGAAGTAGTTTTAACTACGGCATATTTGATAAACAGAATGCCTACTTGTGTACTTAAATTCATTACTCCTCTTGAATGCTTTAAAAATTTCTTTCTTGAAAACCAAATTTCATCTAATTTATCCCTTAAAATATTTAGATGCATAACTTATGTTCATTTACCTAATAAGGATTGGTCCAAGCTTGATCCAAGGGCTGCAAAATATGTTTGTATTAGTTATGCATCAAATCAAAATGGATACATCTGTTTTCATCCAAAGACCAAAAAAGTCGTAATTACTATGGATGTTTTATTTTTTAAAAATCAACCTTATTTCAAAAGAATTTTCTTCGGGGAGAGAGTTTAGAGGAAGAAAATAGTTAGGATAATATATCTACTTTTACTACTTTACCTCAAACAATGGCCTCTACACTTAGCATTTCCTAAAAATGACAAAGTAATTTCTACCGATAAGAATTTTGTTTTACCAAAAATTGTTGAATCTTTGATAAAGAGAGAAATATTACAAAATACTCCTAAGGGTCGGGAACATTGTTTATGTAGAGAGAAAGAATCATCAAAAGGGTAAAGAACCTATTGTTCCTTCGAGCACCTAGCCAACCTATTACCTCGGATTATAGTACTTAAGACACTTCTCAAAATATTAATCCTCTCATTTCACCTCTTAATTTACCCAATGTGGTTTTTCATGAATATTATGATCTTGATGTTCCTATTTTTACTAATAAGAATACTGTTTTACCGTAAATTGCTGAATCTTTGATAGGGAGAGAAATACTACAAAAATCCTAAGGATGAGGAACCCAAGGTCATTGTTTATGCAAGGAGAAAGAATCATCAAAAGGGTAAAGAACCTATTATTCCTTCAACACTTAGCCGACCCATTACCTCGGATTTAGGTACTTAAGACACTCGCTCAAAATATTAATCCTCCCTGTTTCACCTCTTGTTTTGCCCAATGTGGTTTCTCATGAATATAGTGATGCCGATGTTCCTATTTCTACTTATAAGAGTACTTGTTTTACCAAAAATTGTTGAATCTTTGATAGAGAGAGAAATACTACAAAATAATCCTAAGGATGAGGAACCTAAGGTCATTGTTTATGCAACGAGAAAGAATCATCAAAAGGGTAAAGAACCTACTAGTCCTTTAGCACCTAGCCAACCCATTATCTTGGATTCGAGTACTTAAGACACTCCTCAAAATATTAATCCTCATGTTTTACCCAATATGGTTTCTCATGAATATTGTGATCTTAATATTCCTATTGCACTTAGAACGAGAACTCGGTCTTGCATTAATCACCCAATTGCAAAATATATGTCTTATGATCATCTCTCTCAAAACCATAAGGCATTTACTTCAAAATCTCTAACCTATTTATTCTAAGAAATATTCAAGAAGCACTTGGTGATCTAAATTGGAGAGCGTACTGTAATGGATGAAATAAATGCACTAAGAAAAATGGGACATGGGAGATTGTAAAGCTACCTAGAGATTAGAAAACGATTGAGTGTAAATGAATATTTACTATGAAATACAAGACAGATGGTAGTGTAGAGAGAGATACAAGGGTAGATTTGTGGCTAAGGGGTTTACTCAAGCATATTATGTTTATTAGCTAAAAACTTTTGCGCCAGTAGCCAAAATTAACTCTATGCATGTTTTATTGTTTCTTGTAGTTAATTTTAATTGGATCTTATACCAACTAGATGTGAAAAATGCTTTAAATAAAATAAAATAAAATTACGTTTTTATGTTCAAATTAAATACTTATCGGCTTCACAAGCAAATTGAATTGCTAACTTATTTTTTTACTTGAATTGAAATATGTACACAAGAATAAATCCAATTTTTTAAATAAACTAAAAGCAATGTTGATGTTAATTACAAGCTTGTTGAGTTTAGTTATATTATTCTTGATCTTGGCTTGAAAGTATGAAATTGAAATATAAAAAAAAATGATGGGAAAAATAAAATTTTATAAAATAAAATAATATTAAATTAAACCCAATACTTTTTAATGGATTAAATATTAATTTTAAAAAATTAATTAATTCGTTTTTTTCAAAATAGGGGGATTAATTTATAATTTACTCGATATTTGAACTTTGGACAGGGGGCGTGTCCGCCTGTCTGGATGCGTGCCCAAATTAACTAAGCCCAAACTTAGGAAGAGCGAGCCTTGATTTTGGGTCCACAGAGCTAGAACGATTTTTAGATGAGATTCTTTAATTTTTCGAACTCTTATTTCCATCATTTTTTTCTCTTCTCAGAACGCCGTGCATGCTATAATAGATTAATAGCATGTTCAGCAACGCATCTACTTTTTGTTTTTACGATGTGAAAAGTTTGAGTTTGACAAAAATCATATGCAGATAAAAAAAATTAGAATAAAATATTTTTAGTTATACGCGTTGTTGAATGAAAGTTGTTCCAAGCAGTTGGCTAAAAATTGCTGTAATTGGAAGAATTATTTTTAATTAAATAAAACTGATATCACTTATTTAAACAATTAGAATTCATTCCGTTAAAGCCACTTCTGAGTATTATAATTATTTTCATTGATGTTAGTTGGCGATTATCAAGCATAGCCTAGCCTCTGGCCTTGGATATTCATTATAAAAAAGAATGAAAATAAAAAAAATGAACCTCAATTTTTCTGAAAACTGATATTGGTTGAACATTTTATAATATATGCTTCGGATTAATTATTTTCATGTAAATTAATAAACACTGTTGAAAGAATATCTCCAATCTCAATAAGCTTTTGGATTTGGAGGGTATTTCCTTCATTTCAACACAATCTCATTGCCAAAACAATCTAAATTTACAATTGAAGAATCACACCACATTATTGCCAACAGGCAGACTAAAAATCAAAAGCAATTAAAATTCCTATACCGTCATCGAAGCAATGATCAGCTAAAAAAATGACTAAATTATAACATCATAATCAATTCAACTTAAAACACTATCGACTGAAGAGAGCTGCATATAGAAGTTGGTTCCAAGTATCAGGCAATCCAGGTAGACACCAATGGCTACAATCTGTGCCTCCATGATCGCCGCTGTAATGCGAAGGATGTGCATCTTTTCGATATTGAGAAAGTAAGGTCACGTCTAACAAGTACACTGGTTTCTTAATCCTACTCAAAACCTTGTTAACTACAACCCATTCCAATGGTGTTCCTGCTGGGTACCTTGTTCCAAAGAATGGTTGTGTCTCACCAGAACATGACCTTGATGGCTCGTTCCAATCCCTGCCCCTATTTTTGTAACACCGATCAAGTAAGTTTTACTATTGATTTTGAATTCTGATTATGACATTTATAGATGATGAATTTCATAAATCATAACTTGAAAACATGCTAGTTAACATATTGATTTATTAACGGGTTTTATGGATATTGAGATTCTGTATAATTTGATTTTTTTTTTTATTGAAATCCTATTTTTTTTTTTAAATTTAAGAGTTATATCCTTATCTTAGTATTATTTCAAATCTTAACCAATAACAACTTGCCATGTATGCACACATGGCAAGTTCAACCAATAATAACTCCTGTCACATCATCAAAACTTATCATGTGTATTTATATGGCATATTAAAGCCTGAAACAATAATATAGGAATAAACTCTTAAATTATATATATAAAAAAACCCTGAAATCTTAATAAAAAAATTCAAACTTTTCAATATCGTGATATGTGCAAAACTCATTTATTTACCATTATGTTAACATATTTGTTATAGTTCGTTATGCTAATTTATTGACCAATACATTTATCAACATCTCTGTTGATATGACAGTTAATATATTAATTTATTGACTGCTAAATCACTATGTTTATGGAAATAAACATGCTAGCATATGGATCAACCCACTAATGCCATGGTGACCGTGACATTCAGCTCACCAAAACTAACAACATAGTTAGGAAAAACAAATGAATGAAAAGGGTGGGTGCAAAAGAGAAATGGGCTTACTCATAATGTGTGGGAGAAATGCCCTGGAAGAAGACTTTGGTTTTAGCAGGATTAACATATCGGTTGACCCATCTAGCCCATGTGGTGAGGCCCTTATAAAATGCAATTAGACGGTTCATATCTTTGTACAATTTATTCCCTTCTTCGATATAATCCCATCTGCAAAATGTAGAAATGTATTAGCCGTACACGTTCTCACCCAATTTATTTAATTTTATTTTAAAAAAACTAAGATTTAAAAAATAGAATAATGTGAAAATATGAGAAACAAGGTTGAATACGTACGGTTGAGATCTTCCAGTATGAGTCCACCAATGCCAGGAGTTGAAGATCAACATGTCCATGCCTAGCCATGCCTTTCCATTGTATATCGAATCAAGCTTCAAGATCCGTCCTGCCTTCCCATGGACAAGATCTACCAGGTACGGCGTTCGATATAGTAGTATCTTTACTCCGTAGTCCTGCGCAAAAAAGCACAGACAACCCCTTTAAGTCATACCTCACTTTAATCCTTTTTTTTTTTTTTTTGTCTTTTTTCAACCAAATATAAATATATATGGATAACATCCCCTTTTTTCTTTGTCTGTTTTATAGAGTTTGTGGTCAAGGTTCCCCATATATATATATATATCTGTTTTATAGAGTTTGTGGTCAAGGTTCCCCATATATATATATATATATATATATATATATATATATATATATATATATATATATATATATATATATATATATATGTGAACAAAATTAAAATGTTGCTGTGATAGGATGTGACCATACGGGCACGTTTGGTGAAACTAGACATGAAATATTTTTTACTTATTTATTTTTAGAATCTGATCTTATGAATTATTGGAGGGTGTTATTGTATTTTTATTTTAAATACAATAAGACAAAAGGGTATAAATATCTTTAGAACTCAATTGGTATGCCTTTATCCTGCAAAGTAAGAAAAAGTAGCTACACTAATAAGGGTTGCAATGATGCTTTAAAGTGGGTTTGGAAAATATTGGTAAGTTTTGAAAGCTGAGATTGAAAGGATATATATAGGCATATTTTCGAAATTAATTTTTGTTTCAATCAAAACTAATTAAATTCATCACTTTTTGAATTAAATTAATATTTCGTTTAGCTTTTTATTGATTGCTAGACTTTATTTTAAACCAAATTAGTCTAAACTTGATGCTATTAAAAAATAATTATAGCTAATAATCTGTAAATAATGAGAATTGAATCTTAATTTTAGTTAAATCAAAATAAATTTCTTATTGCTTTGTTAGAATACATCTTTTGGTAAGTTGAAAAGGATATTAGAATAGATTGTTCAAACCCTTCGAATACGAAACTCAAAAATCAATTAGGAAGCATAGAAAATGACATGAGAATATAGACAATTAGGGACCATCATATATTATCCATACAGTTAATAACATTGCTTTGTAAGAAAAGAAAAGGCGGTCCAATATTTGCCACATCGCAGGATCATAACTTGTAAGAAAAGCCGTGCAAGCAGAGAACTACACATCCCTAATTAATACCTCAAGTGGTCCTTTAAAAGGCCAATTAGTATTTAGCACTTATCAAATAAGTGCATACTAAATCCTTCTGCAGGCCCCAATTCAGATTATGAACTCCAAAGAATTGAATTTGTTCCACAAGAAAATAATTAACAAAGCAAGACAGGCCTAAAAAATGATTCCCTACTGAATTTTTTTAACGTGAAAGCTGAAATCTAAGGTGAAATAGCCATCTATATTTGCCGATGCAGTATTGTCGTAACCTCATGGTAGGTAGTATCAGTAAAGTTTGAAATGACATGTACGATTGAGTTTTGTTGGGTCTATGTCTTGCCATGCCTTTGGGAACAAGGTTTGATGATTGTAGCTGATGCTAATTGAATGTTTATGAAAAGATGAAAATAGTAGATTTATTGAAGTAATAAGTGGTTAGTGTGCTTTGCCTACTCAAAAGAGACATAATTGTTGATGAGCTAGTCTAATTAGAGATTACTTTCATTTTTCTCTGCCTTTTACAAAAAGAGTTAGAAAGGTTTTAGGGCATTTCTATATGGAGTAGGAAACAACATTCGGTTCCCAAAGGCAAATATGACAACGATTCATTGGTAAGTCTAGGACTTAAAGGTTACTACAAAAAGAATTAAAGGAGTTAACTCTCTGTACTCGAATAGATATTGGCTGGAAAAATAATTAAAAAAAGGAAAAACCAAATAAAAATTAACTAATTAAGTTCGCCAAAACTTTTCCCTCTTCTGATTGGTTTGATCTAAAAAAATATGACATTGATTTTCACCAACAAGATTTGGTCTAAATAATTTAAAATTTGAAACATTTAGTACCACAAAGACTAACAAAATGTCTCCGGCAAAATCACAGAAAAAGGATACCACCACCACCAATCACGCTCCACTTTTGATGCATAGAACTCCACACACACACCCCAATTTAAAATAAAGTAGCAAAACTGGGAGTGAAAATAGAAGAATTTAAATGAAGTAATAAAAACTTTACCTTCTCAAAAGGCATGCAGAAAAGGACAAGGCGTGCATGCTGGCGAAATGTTATGATTGTTGAAAATTTTAAAGAAAACCAACAACTGAAATTCAAAATCTTACTTACCTCGAATGTAACAGAAGATAGCCCCTCTGTTCTAAACACTGTGTACCTCGAATTTGGCACCCACGAGTGAATCAAACACGTCAAAGATACCCATTGGTTCAAAGCCAGTGAGTCACCTACAAACATAATCTTCTTTCCTCTCCATTTCTCCAGGAAATACAACCCATTGAACCTGAGAACATGACAAGTAAAAACACTACAGATTTTCCTACCATTGGTAAACATGAGGGCACAGAAGAATGAAAGAAAACGGTACCTGGGCAAGGCACATGCAAAAGGTTGCCACCTATACTTGAGATAATACTTATCAGGTCGACCATACTTCTGGCAGTTGAATTGTGGATCTATGAAGGGACAAGAAGAGTCATAGAGAGGATACTTAGGATCAAAAACCCATTTTCCTCTGGACCAGTTGCACTTGCCAGCTAGTTCTCTGGCATTGCTGGTACCATTGCTGAAGTTGAAACTCTGAGCAGTAACTTTTGAAGCTTCTGCTGTTGTTTGGTAAGATATTAACAAAAACAAAGAGAGAAACATGGGTTTGAAGAACAAGAAAGCCATCTTGGGTTTTTTCCAATAATTAGAAAAAGTGTCTTGAGAGAAAAGACTAGGAGTGAAGAAAAAGTTGTCCTAGACAAGTGTTTATATAATGTATGAGAGAGAAAGGGAGAGAGAGAGGCAGCGGGTTTCACATGGAATGTGTCACAGTGTACTATCAATTTTTAATTTGGTTTTCTGACAGTAAAAATAAGAAATCTTTGGATGGATTCTTTTTCCTGTGGCATGTGAGGATGGCTACAATCCCCTTAGCTTTGAAAAATAGGAATCATAATGAGTTTGAATCTAAAATAATGGGAAATTTTTTTCTACGAAGGGAAAAAAATCATATAAAAAGTTAATAAAGTTTTTTTTTTTTTTTTTTTTTCTGGTAGGTGACTCAAAAGAGCTTTCTTTCTCATTGTCACTTTCTACTTTCTAATCTCTTGGAAACATTTCGTGAGTATAATATGATATAGTCGTTTTTCATAGATAAGTTGCTTCAGGTTGGCCTTGCATTCATTAGAAAGTTTTTCTTTAAATTTACGGGTTTCATAATAATGTCACTATGTCAGATCTGTCTAACTTTTGTCCTAATTAAGACATCATTGATGATCTCACGGTAATATCCAGTACTATTTGATTGGCAAGCCATTTTGTAACTACTACCGGATTTTGTGGAGTTCAATGATATCTCTATAGCTGCTGGCTTGAGAAGAAAAAAGTCGCCAATGGATACCTTGCACACTACGGCAGAGTAACATTTTATTTATTTTACGGACAAAATGAGTTCATGGTAGTGAGGCGTCTTTGGTTAATAATAATAATAATAAAGTGCGAGAATGCGAATGTTAATTCACCTGATAGCTATTTAGTTGAACAAATAAAAACAAAAATTATACATAATTCCATTACAATATAAAAGGTGAGAATAAAAATAAAAAATAAAAATAACATATTTTTTAAATAATGATATTATTTTTATGTATTGTGAATTGGCTATTTCTATTACTACAACCACAACCATCATAACATTCATCAACGATTGTGATAAAAATTTGAAAAAAAAAGTTATTATTATTATTATTTCATCATTCTTAATCAATTACCACAATCAATTTTATTATACTACTACTAACATCATTACCTTCACCAGAGGTGGTGATAAAAAATTGAAAAAAAAAATTATTATTATTATTATTATTATTATTTCATCATTCTTAATCAATTACCACCATCAATTTTATTATACTACTACCACCGCCACCTTCACTAACGGTGGTGATAAAAAATCGAAAAAAAAGAAGAAGCTATTATTATTATTTCACCATTCTTAATCAATTACTACCATTAATTTTATTATAATACTATCATCATCACCTTCATTGATGATCGTGATAAAAATTATTATTATTATTCAATCATTACTTTTTTCAATCATTATTATCACTTTTATTATATTACTACAATCACTACTACTATCGATTATCGACGACAATAATAAAAAGTTATTATTATTATTCTATCACTAGTCCTCCACTAATACCATTTTTATTATATTATTACCACTATCATTATTATTTTTTTTCCACTACCATTTCCTATAGTGAAAGAATTGATTTGTTTTTAAAAATATTATTGATATTATTATAATGTTATTACTACAACTTTCTTTTCATCCTCCTCTTGCTCTACCGCCACTATCATCACTGCTATCATAATGACGTCTATTATTTTTACTATATTGTAGTTGATGAAATTATTTTTTAATCATCATTCTTATTCGTATTAAAAATTAAAAATTAAAAAACTTTAAATTTCATTATAATTCATTATCGGTATTCCAAATGCGATATAAGAATCCAAATATCATTCGATTCTCTAGTTTTTATTTCGATTCTTGCATTTTCATTTCGAGTCTTTCGTTTCGTTAACTAAACAATACTTAGATATTATTTTAGCACCACATGATTGATGTTTTTCTATCACCGAATGTTGTCGCTTAATAATTTAAGAATTTAGATACAAACATTGAGCATACAAATTTAATTATAAATTAAGTAGATTTTTTTCATTAAAATAATAATATATTTACTTTTTCCATTAGGCCTTTTCTTTTAGGTGTAAATTATAAATTAGTCCTTTTTTTCGAGAAACAAATTAATTATTTTTTTATTTTAATTAATAATATAACTCTTTACGTTTTAATTTCGTCATAACTTAGTCATTTCATCGCTTTTCATTAGATTAATGGTTTTTTTTTTTTATCAAATTGTCTTATTTTTTATTCTTTATTTATCCTTTTCACCCACTTCTCAACCAAAAAAAAAAAAAAAGACAACTTGAAAAAAAAAATCACAAATTTAATGAAAAAAATAAATATTTTGATAAAATTAAAACTTGAAGGACTAAATAATTAGTTTTTATAAAAAAAAAAGGCTAATTAATTTGTTTCTCTAAACAAGACTTACTAATTTATAAGTATTAGTTTTTATTTCGATTTTTGCATTTTTATTTCGAACTTTTTATTTCTGTTAACTAACTAATACTTAAATACTATTTTAGCACCACATGATTGATGTTATTCTATCACTAAACATTGTCGCTTAATAATTTAAGAATTTAGATACAAACATTGAGCATACAAATTTAATTATAAATTAAGCTAATTTCCTCAATCTTTTAAAGAGGTCTCACGAAAATGTTAAAAAAACATCTTCTTCCTTTTCATAATCGGCCTAAGCAGATTTTTTTTCATTAAAATAATAATATATTTATTTTTTCCATCAAGCCTTTTCTTTTAGGAGTAAATTATAAATTAGTCCTTTTTGTTTCGAGAAAAAAATTATTTTTTTGTTTTAAAAATTAATAATTTAAATCTTTATGTTTTAATTTCGTCATAACTTAGTCATTTCATCAGTTTTTCATTAGATTAATGGTTTTTTTTTTCAAATTGTCTTATTTTTTTATGCTTTATTTATCTTTTTCACCCACTTCTCAACAAAAAATAAAAAAGACAACTTGAAAAAAAAATCATAAATTTAATGAAAAAATAAATATTTTGATAAAATTAAAACTTGAAGGACTAAATAATTAGTTTTTATAAAAAAATACAAATTAATTTGTTTCTCCAAACGAGACTTACTAATTTATAATTTACTCTTTCTTTTTGTTCCATTGTATTATTTTATGTTATTTTTTGTACTTTTAAGTTTTAATAAATTTAGTGCCCTTAGAAAGGTGCGTCTCCACGATAACTAAGCACAATTATGAACGGGTGCGTTTAAGTCTGTGTCTGTGGCTGCGAATCTAAATTTGGTTTGCCAAAAAATTAATGACCAGCAAAGCAAAAGTTGGAGTAACAACTGAATTTAGGCTGAGTTCCAAACTTTCTTTTGATTTTTCTGAATGTTTTAACAGGACATTATTATTACCTTCAAATTTTCGGAGTCAAGAAAATCGGCCAAATTTTTTGGGACTTTTTGTCCAATTGGTATTGCCTTTGTCTGTATACCCTACCAAACCAGGATAAGGATTTCTTTTTGCAGCTTTTGGAATGGCACTCAAACTCCCAATCAACTAGCACTGTCCACTCAAATTTTGCCAATCAGTGTAGATAAACAAGTAGCAAGTGGGCAGAGATAAGAAGTGAGCCTTTTTTTAGAAATAAAATAAAGTTCTTAACTTTTTTTTCATATTGTGTTTCCAGAGCTCATAATTTATGCAATATATTGCGGCAATTGAGTGGAGGAAGAAATTTTGAGAATCTTTTTGACAAAAAAGGTATAGGTACGTGTAAAATGTTTTGAAGGGTCCAAATAGCATTTAATGGGCTGGTGACCCGCTTCTCTTGTTTGATTGTTTTCGGGTTTTCGACTCTTTATCCCCACATGTTTTTGTAGGGTCTTTGAGTGAGTTGTAAACCATTAGTTGCGCTCTAAAAGGTTTTTTCTTTTTTTACTAACCAAATTGTGTTTTTTTTTTTCTTCTTCTGATATTCAATGATATTTTTTCAGATCCATTTGATTTCAAATAAAATTAAATCTTTTTTATTTCGAACCTTTATGAGGACATACTTTAAAATTTTTCTTGTGCATTCAGGAATATATATATATATTTTAAATGCTTAACATCAAATATTCGAATTTAAAAAATAGTCTTATAGATAAATTGTATATATTATGAGTTTGGTAGTCTTTTTATATATATATATGATGATACAATTTGAAACATATAAAATTTAAATTAGAATTAAATTCATGAAAGTCTCTTTACTTCTTACAATTTGGCCAGGATTCTAATCATGATAATCGATAGAGGAAAACATCCCTTCAATCACTAGATTCATTTTAAAAATTATTCTTTTTTGCATAAATAAGTCAAACTTGTTGATGGTTTCAATTTTGGTTTTTGTGCAAAAGGGTAACTGTGTTTAAGATATTAATTGGTTTGTTGCATCTGGGGGAGAAGGTTAGTAGAGGCGGTAAGTACACTTCAACTCAAGATAAAATTGAATTCAATATCAATAGGACAATAGGGATGTTTTCTTTTTAATTTAAGATAATAATAACATAGAAGCAAGGGAAGAGCTAGCTAACGGTAAGTCTATTTTTATAATAGGCTAAAAGAGTCTAACCATTTTTTAATTTTAAATCATATGATATTTAGTTTCTGAATTTTTTTTATTTTAAAAAATGTTAAATTTTTAGTTTTTTAGATTTAATCATTTTTTTTCAGTTTTTTTTATTATTTCTCAAAAAATAATAATTACATAAATAGTTTCATGATAAAAATAATGCAATGAGATTTAAGTGAGGCTCATAAAAAAAATTTGGGATCATTTTGGGTTTTTTTTTCCTATATTTCCTGATTTTCTATATATTTTAGGGTTCAAAAAATAATCGAATATAGTTTTTGATTTTGAAAAATTTTCGGATTTTTTGACAAAATGGATTGGATATTTTTTACTATGATTGCAAAATTTCAGCTCAAAATATCAAAAATTGATTTTTTTTAAAAAAATG